GTGGGCCATGGGCTGGCTATGGAGCGGCCCAATCATGGTTGCAGGCAACGAGCCGAGGTTTTAGGATAGGCCCAGTAGGCGGGAGAACATGGGCCTAGCTCAGAAATTGGCCAGGGGTGTACCCGCGAAGCCTAGCCGTGAGCTGGCTTCAATTTGGGCTTGGGTGCCAAAAGCCCAACCAAAAGGCTGGTTTTGGATCGCAGAGCACGGCTTTGAGGGCCTGCTAGTGGACTCAAGACTTCAGGCCTGTATGAAAACCAACCCAGGTCGTGTTATGCAGTGATGTTGAAACGATGTCATCCTAGTGATAGCGTGGCTGCAAGCTAGCCATGTTGGCTCAGTGGCATGGCGTGGAGCCGCAACTCAATTCCAAAAAAAAAAAAAAAAATTGAATTCTAAGGTTAAAAACCCTAATTGCTTCTAAATTAATTTCGATACTTTGACTCACAAATTCCACATAAAATAATTGTGTATTGCATGAACAAATATATATATATATATATATATATTGACAAAATATATGAATACATATGCAATATATATATATATAATTGAAAGAAAAATATAAATATAGGGGTTCATGCATCCTGTGGAATGTTTTCATGCTTCAAGGTTGTTTCAAATATATTAATTTATTTTAAAAGAACCTGATTGTCATAAAATAATTGAAATCATTTGATGTTGTAGAAGAAAGCCTCCTCCACGATCCTTCAGTTCTTTAGCTTCTAACAAGAGTGTGTTGATAACGTGTTGTAGGCTTAATTTACTGAACTGTATTTAAGACAAGAAAGGAAGAGCGCCGGCTGCAAAAGAGATAGAAGAAATAGATGTAATTTTGAGGTGTGTGTTGTATCACCCCATTATACCTTTATTTATAGTAGTAGTGACACACCCCAACCGAGACCAGGGCATGCTGGCCGTCACGTGGAAGTGACGTAGCCATGTGCACAGTGCGGAAGCCATAGGAAGTAATAAAAAAAAATAATACGAATAATTTAAAAACTAGCATATATAATGTGATAAAATAAGTGCTAGCGTAAGTAAGACACTGAATTCAGAGCATATAGGCTACAGCAGTCCAAAGAAAATGATACGACAGTAGTACACCCGAAGGTGACCCTACACTGGTGAGTGTCTGTCAGAAATGCCGAGACGCCCTCTGGGAAAACCACCGAACCCGCTAAGCTACTAGAACCTGGAGGGGCGCAAAACAAAAGCGTGAGTGGGCAAAAACAAAGCTCTTTGAAAACCATTTAGTAAAATACATTCTAACCCCTCGCCGTAAAACCTGTATACTTCCCAGAAATAAATAAATATATATATATATATATATATATACGTATGTATAAATATGCCAATCATGTTCAAGGGTATGCCAATCATGCTCAAGAATGTGCTATGTCAAAGCCTTATAATGGTATGCAAGTGCTCGGGTATAAATCACATCAATAGCAAAACGTCTGGCAGCTGGAGTCCCCTAAGTGACCTGTACGGCTGAATCTAGAGCTCAAATCTCAAACTCAATCACTAAACCTGCCCACGAGTCGGAACCACCTATAGTGGTCTGTACGACAGGCCTGGGTGTAATACATATAAACGCTCTAGTGCTACGATCACGTGAAGGCTGTGCGAATAATCGCGGGTCACCTACGAGTCGGAACCACCTAAAGTGGTCTGTACGACAAGACTGTGCACCTAACTTGGATCCAAGCTGAGCGTGTGGTGCGGGAGGTGAACGACACGTGAAGGACTGTGCCCTACTCAGGGCGGGAGCACTAACACCGGGGGTGCAGGTTATGAGCTCTCTAAGCACCTCTAATCACCATTTAATGCAAAGGTTAAATAACGTTTACCTGGCACTTACCTGCGCCTCCACAGCACCAAATATAATTATGTATATGTATGCCACTACTAATGCATATGATAATGCATAAACAATAAGGATATGGTGCATGGCATAAATAAATGACCCTTTTTAAACAATTTCTAGGAATATAAATGTATATAGGTATATACGGAAAACCAAAAGCCCACTCACTGGTATGTGGAAGGGTCGTAGCCCCCCTGCCTCGCGTGAGCACGCTCGTCCTCGGGATACGTGTCACCTATATGCGAAAATACTATAAAAACGTTAATTTTAAAGCACATAACCTTCCGTTCAAAATAACTTCTCATACATTGCTCAAAATGGACAATTGAATATACCAACGTGCTCTACACAACCTCAGGATCACAACCATATTTTTAGAAAAATTTTCCACCGCCGCACGCTGACGGCGTCAACTGACGCCATTAGGAATATTCCGTCAAAACTGACAGATTCCGTTAACGGCGTCAGGAATATTCCGTCACCTTCTCCGGCGAGACTCCGGCGCCGTCGCCAGAAAACCTGCAAATCGTGTTTTCTCGCTCGTTTCTCAACCGTTTTTCATGATTTTTATACCAAAATGAAGCCCTAAACTAGTAGAACATGTCCATACAAGTTTTAAAGGCCAAAACCTACGAAAACTCACCTGTCCACAAACCTCCAAAACCGGTCAAACTCGAACCAGGTGATTCCTACGTCCAAACACTTCCAACGAAGCACTCCGAGGCTCCTTGGGACCTCACTAAGACACCTATGAGGTTCAAAATCCCAGAAACGTGGTGAAATAAGTTTGCATGAATAGTGCTCAAATCGGAGGTTGTGAAATCGACGTGAAAATGACTGGTTTCTCACCTGAAAATGATATGATCGTGCTCCCCTCGACCTCATGATCACGACTGAGCCCTTGGTTTCCTCGATCTGTGATGATTTAGTGTAGTTGTGTGTGTGTCCGTACGAGTTTGAAGGAAGAAGAAGAAGGATAGAGGACTCGGGAGAGAGAGAGAGAGAGAGAGACAGGAAAAGGGACAGGGAAAGGTGGAATGTGTGGCTGCGTGTGTGTGATTCCCAAACATGCCAACAAGGCACACAAACAACCAATAACGTAAAACGAACTAGCTAGGGGCAAAGTGGTCATTTCACACGTACGCTTCGATAGTTTCGGGACGGGATATCACAAGTAGGATAGGTTAAATTCTTACCCTAATAGGATTACAACTCTAATAGGAAATTAACTAATAAAAGGAATATACAAAGATGCTCCTAAATACACTAGGATTTACACAATCATATTCCTAATCTAATAGGATTGCAACTTAAAGTACATTTTCTCTTCTTACAGATATGTTTTTTCAATCACAGTTTTTTTTTTTTTTTTTGAAAACATTTAATATTATTTATTTTTCCAAATGTTTTTTCTTTTTTCAAATAGTTGGTGATTTAACATAAAAGTTTCGTGTAATTTTTTCAATTTGCTTCTTTTTTTTTTTGCTTTTTTATTTTTATTTTTATGTATAGTTGTTGACAAATTATTATTAGCAGTGGTGGATCCAAGATTTAAACTCGGGGGGTCCTAATAATAAAGGTCAAAAAATTAATAGACAAAAATAACTTTGAAAAGTTTAATTATAACATTGAAGTTTTATTCTCGGGTCTCTTTCAAGATTATTCAAATCAATGTAACACTCAGTTTGTCTTGAACTTGAATTATCCGAACAAATAGAGGGTGCTATTGGTTTTGGTTTGAAAAATCTTTCCATGTTTCTTATTTCTACATTACACAATTGATTAAAAAAAAACACAAAACATATACCAATTAACCAATAAACAAAAATTCCATCTAAATTTCAATAATCACATGAGTATACAAACATAAAACATATCAATAATCATATCAAATAATTGACTATACACCTCCATCAATATCTAATATAATTTAATTGAGATTAGATTAGAATACCAAAAAACTTGCATGAATTTTGAACCAAATGGTGGTCATGTGGAGATTTGAAACAAATTGAGGAATGATATTGGAGTAAAGTTTAAATATGGGATTTGGTAGGATTTAGAATTTTAGGGTTTTGAAAATTAGGGAATTGGAGATTGGGTGAATATGTGAAAATCAAGGCAATGGGATGAGGGAATGGATGGGGAAGAGTGGGACTTGGGGGACGTGCTAGCTAGGAATTTAAAACAAAATATACACTAACAACTGCGTTTTGTATATTGTTTTAATTATCAAAAATTAAAACAGTTGGCCAAAATGAGCGTTTTGGGCCAAGCCTTAAAAAAGAAAACTTCTTCACACGGTCGTCTTCTTCGAAGACGCCGCCTCTCGGCCGCTGCAATTTGCACACACAGGTCTTCGTCCTCGAGTGTGAGGGGTCCCTAAAAAATTTCAAGCAACGATTCAGGGTTGCCGAGGGGTCCTGGGACCTCCCAGGTCCCTCTATGGGTCCGCCACTGATTATTAGGTACAATACATAATGTATATATTATTTGCAGGTACGTTTGAATTTTTAAAAATCATTTATTGGTACGTTTATTTACAATTTTAGTATGTTTGAGTTGGTACATATTGTTGATATTAGTACATTATTTTTATTTTGTTACGTTTGATTTCATTCCCCTTGTGTATTGGTATGTTTATGTTGTTATCAATCCTATTTTCTCTCAATGTACTAAAATAAAATTCTATTTTGTTACATTTGATTTTGTGGGATTTAAAATTATTTAAAACTATTTTGAAAAGAAAAAAAAAATCTTAAATCGTACATAATCACTGCTAACTTGTAGTATTATTGTCAAAATAAAATTGAAACTAACCAACATTTTTTTTTTTTTTTGCAATTATCTCTAACGCAGTAAAGTATAATCATAAGGCTAGATTATAGGAAATTTGTTTCAATATGATGTGCATATTTTTTGGCGTCATATTTTAGTAAAGATAGGTAATGGCATGTCCTTAGTAAAGATAGGTAATGGCATTTCGTGTAATTTTGGTAAAGAAAATGATTATTCTGATGCGTATGGCATCAAAATTATGACAAAAACAGTTTAATCGAATTACTAAAAACACATAGACGTTTAATCTACAAAATTCAAAACCGACGCGCCTTGTATCAAAAGATCCCAGTGACAAGGTAATTGGAATTGATAGGAATACGAACACTAACACAACTGATAGGAATTGATATCGTTGTGGTATTCATAAAAGGGCAACAGCCCGTTTTATTATCAAAGCAAAGGCATTGATCAAAATCCTTCAGTCACACACATGCACCCACCACCAAAGAGTGGAAGGCTGACCATGACGAAGAATCAGAACCCATGCCCTCTTTTTTCCAACACTCACATCACGATTCATGGCCTCGATTTTTATTCTTATATCACTATAAATTATATCCATATAACCCTAATATATTCAAAACACAAACGCATAGTGTTTGACGCTTGAATTTAATAATATTTTTTTATCACCTCTCATCATTTTCTCGTTCTGTGTCTCTAACTGTGACGGCCATTAGCATGGTGGCTCTTGGCCTCAAACCCTTCCTCAGTGGGCTTCCTGGAGAAAGTTAGGTGGACCCCAGGATCATGCTGAGTGAGAGAACCGTTGTACACAATCGAGTTGTTGATTCCTTGAACATTGCTGTTCGTGAAAGTACTAGTAGGCTTTGATGCTGCAGCTTTCCAAGCTCTGTGACTTTTATCCTTGCTTTTGTGCTTGCCTTCCTCGCCGCCACTGTCGCTGCTGCTGCTGTGGTTTCCCTGATCAGATTGAGTCCCCATTAAGGTTTTTCCATTTTCTGTCTTATGAAAGTAATGAGAATGCTCCTCACTTCCATGTTTCTTTGGGGATTTTATGAGTTCCATGAAAGCTCCCCTATTTTCCCCTGCAATGGTGATAACCCTCATGCCAGCTGCCTCATGATCGGAACTAGGTGGCGACTTCTTCCGAGATATGAGTCTCTCTTTTGTTTCTCCTTCATGCTTTGCGGTGTGGGAGTTGCTGATGGGCTTTGGGGACTCGTGAAAGTCCGCGCCTTTTGAGTTTCCGGAGGTGAAGCTGCCAAACCATGAACTGGGTTTTTGTTGATCAATGGTTTTCTGTTGGACCAGCATTGTCTTCTGCTCTGCCTCAACGGGAAACTTGGGTTGGTCAGTTTGATTATCTGAAGTGTTTGGCCTTAGCTGAGATGGTGGAAGAGTGAGAGGAGAGGGCGGTGGGGCGGTTGGTTTGAGTCTTGGTGACTGAGGTGGGGTTTGATTCACGGCGGGCCTGATGATTTTGGGAGATTGGTGGTTGTAATTATTAGCCTCCCTAGCAGTGGATGAAATGCTGGTGGGTTTTGGTGGAGAATAAGTTTGTGCTGGCAGTGGTTTAGATGATGAAGGAGAAATTGCAGCGGCTGAGATGACGGGTTTTGGCGGAGAGGTGGTGGTAGTTTGTGGTTTGTAGGCTGGAGAATGTGACACTGAATCAGTAGTAGAAGAAGTAGTGACCTTGGTTCTACTGGGAGAAGGTGCCCCTGAATATGATGGGGCTCCAGAAACTCTGGATGCAGGAGATGATGGTACGGAAGAAGGTGCAGCTTTCTTAACTGGTGATGATGGAACTGATGCAGTAGTCACAGGAGGAGAAGGTGATTTTGTGGCTGCGGGTGGTGGTGGTGGAGCAGTGGTGACAGGTAGTGGTGCCACCGTGGCAGGACGAGGTGGTGGTGCCACCATGGCAGGACGAGGTGGTGGTGCCACCATGACAGGACGAGGTGGTGGTGCCACCGCAGCAGGAGGAGGCGGTGGTGGTGCCACCACAGCAGGAGGAGGCGGTGGTGGTGCCACCACAGCAGGAGGAGGCGGTGGTGGTGCCACCGCGGCAGGAGGAGACGGTGGTGGTGCCACCGCGGCAGGAGGAGACGGTGGTGGTGCCACCGCGGCAGGAGGAGGTGGTGATGGCAGAGCAGTGGTGGTAGGTGGTGGAGGTGGTGGGGGAGTAGGCTCAGGAGGAGGAGCCGTTGGCCTCATTGTAGTTATAACCATTGGGGCGAGGGCGGGAGCAGGGGTGGGGGTTGGGGCTGGGGCTGGTCGGACAATGGAGCCTAGCCGGAACCACGGACGAGTAGGCTGGGATGCCATAGGTGATGACAAGGAAAATCAATTGGAGGGAATTGTATTTCTAATTGTAGTTCTAGTTTAGTAATATATAACACAAAGAAAATTGAACTTAGAACAAAGGAAGAAACGTAGGAATTGGAAACGATGAGACATAGGTTGATAGGTGTGTTGCTATTTATAGTTTGGACAAGTCTTAAGTACAAGAAACTTTAGGGTTTGACACAAAATGTTAGGGGAGAAGTCTGAAATAAAAAAAAGAAGGAAGTCGTGAGAAACATGCCGAGAAAAGAAAGAAAAGCATCAGATGCAGAAGAGCACTTGAAGTTGAGCTATTTTGGGGAGGGACAAAGTACCAAAAATTATATTTGACAATGCAAGATTGGTATCAAATGGAGTAAATTAGAAGAGTGATATTTTTTTGTGTGGGATGACCTCCTTCTTTGCTATTGGAGGATTCTTTGAACTAAAGGCAATGTCTGCAACAATGTTAATAGACAATTTTAATAGAGAAACTATTGTTACACTACTTGATAACAATATTAATAGACAGCTAATTGGAAACATAAATTACACCATCAATTTCCAATATGTTCTTCTGTTCTTGGGATACAGGTCTTCAGTGCTTGAGTCTTTTTCAGTCCAACCATTTTATTTTTTAATTATTTGTTTGTCTAAGGTCAGATACATTTTCATTTTTAATTTGGAATTAACACGAAGATGAATGCTAGCTACCTTTTTTTTTTTTTTTTTTCCCGACCTTCCCCATTTTTCTATGTAGAGACGCATAGGGGATTAAAACTAGTTTTAGTTCATCAAATTCAGGTTTTCTCATTGGAGATGTTCTAACATGCAATATTGTTCAATAAAGTGCTATAATTGCATTCCTCAAACACCTTGTGCATTCCTCAAACACCTAGTATAAAGAAATACTAGGTGCTGGTTGTTGGGATTCTTCCACATTCTTAACGATCACAAAACAAACTAAAACATTACTATTCTCACCTCTCACTGTAATTCGATTCTTCAAATCGTCTGAGGATTTAATGTCCCTGCACTAATTAGCGGACGTCTGCGGCTTGCTCTTGACTTTGCTTGTCATGCTATTGTTAGTTGCTTTTACTTTCACTTTTCCTCCAGCTTCAGGTCCATCAGATTCTTCAACTCATCAAGGGGCCTTCATCACTGTACGGATGGTCGCTTTGGTTAATTTCCTTGAGCGGAAAGTAAGAGGCATCTTATTTTCTTGTTTAGAACCATTTTTGCTTACCTACAAATCATAGTTTAACACGTATGTTGAACTTTTAGTTTCGTATCTTTAATTAGTCATTTTTACACACGTATTAGGCTGTTATTTGGATATAAGCGAAATTGACTCATTAACTGTAAGGACCTCCACAATTTTCTTTTTTAACTATAGACTGTGGAGCATGGGGGAAGATGAAGAAAGGCGGCAATCTTGTTGTTCCAAAAGCAAAAATCAATGAGGACTGATTCTCAAGAATAATGTTAGGGAAACTAAATTTTGGAAACAAAAGGACATGGATGTTGATGATTGGTTTATTACTTAAGCGTTGATATACATACTCATTTCTATTGGTGACACATCACTTAGTCTACAATTTTAGCCTTTAAATTTAGTTTCCTTAGCATTACTCAATTCCCAATATCGAAAAAGTAGGGAGCAACAAATAAAGGTTGAGATGTGGCCCTAAGAATATCTTCCTTTTCCTTCCTTTTTCTTTTAACTGGTACTTTGGAAGACAATTCTATGAAGCTCCATTGTCTAATTAGATGAGGAAAATACTCAGTGAGACAATCACAATGCAATGCACCATGCTTTTCATATGAGATAATCACAATGCAATGCACTCTACCCTTCATAGAAATGGAATATAAGACCTACAAATTCGAACTGATACTGTGGCTAAAGTTTGATCAAATAATAAGAGTATTTTAAGCCAATATTCGTTAGGAACTTCTCAGATACTGCATTGTTTTGGAAATTCGGAATATGACATCATATCCTTGCCTTTGATCTGAGGGAAAGCACAAACTTCATGTCCATGCTAGGAATACCTTATACGTTATACCCCAATACCTTTAGCCTACTCATTTATGTATCCGGTAAACCTACTTGAAGAACGCCGAAGTTCAGATGTCATATTTCCATATCTCTAGCTATTTGTTGCTCTTACGTTGCAAGATTATAAACTCTCGTTCCTAAACATTCACAGCCTAGTTATTGAAGGTAATAAAAAAGATGTAAATATGCTCATAATTGAAAACTATTTCAAGCAATAACAGTAGAACTGATTACCAATATGCTACTACGGAATCAGTTTGGACTTGATTGATAGCAGATTTAGCTGTGCCGACTATTGTGACTTATGAGGATTGACGTGCATTGATATTATCTTATGTGATTTAGCTAGAACAAGAAGCGTGTCTGGAGGAAATGAAGTGAACTATGAATATCAATGCAGAAAATTACATTGGTTCCGGAATTTCTTTGGATACTAGGAAGAAACAAGGACGTAAACAATTGCATGACAAAGGCCAACTTTAAGTCCTTAAGCCATTCCCGATGCTGCAGATATTAAAGGAAACACACTACACGTTCATTTGATCATTGATGATTTCGAATGAGGGTTGAACATAAATAAATCGAGAAGAAGAATAATGCTGTTATGGTAGTCAGCCAATGCTCTCCAACATAAATCGGTACTAGGCAAAGGAAATATATCTTAGTATGTATTTTCTGGCACTGTACAGCATAGAATTAAATTCTCTTTAACATATGCAAATATTTAACTGGAATGGACACAGCATCCGACGCTTAAAAGTAATTCTTAGCGCTTAACGAAGATAATTTTGGGTACAAGGCTATCAAAATTAGCAGAGGAAAAAAGGGAAAGAACATAGGTTTGCAATCGCAGATGGTAGCTAAACTAATATCCTCACCCTTTGGAATGTCTGCAATTCAGGGCCATTTAGTGAACTTGAACACGTTCAGAACTATCTCCAATCCAGTAGGTATTTGCCACACGAAAAGAAGAACGTTTATCACATTCAGCGTAATGTGAAGGTTTCTGGCTGTTTCACTTCCCTTTTGCATTGCAGGCGTAAGAGCCGCCGCTGCTGCCCATAGCACCGTGATAGCTGCTCAGAAGAAGAAAAATCAACTCAATTCAATTAAGCCTTCACTGGCATCTATTTTATGTTATTTTGTTTTAATTTCTAACTGAAATCCAAACTTTACCTGCCCCGGCAAACAAATGGGGGCCTGGAAATAGCTTTCCTGTCCTCAACCATGTGTTAAGTCCTCCACCAACCGACTCAAAAACTCCGAAAGCTAACAATATTGATCCTGCATTGTAATGTTTATCCCGGTAAGATCCTTTCACCAACTCCTTCCTTTCCTGATAAGGAAACGCTGATACGTCAGAAACTAAACACTGATACATCAGAAACTTTAATGGAGTATAACATTTCATGACATGTAGCACTAAATTTTGTAGAAATACCAATTTTGCTTTACACAAAAATGAATGCCACACACATAATAGTTGAAGTTAATTTCCAATTATATATTAAGTATTATACTCAGTTTTCTTCAACTTTGATCTCATTTGTTGACTGGTTGATTGATTTAGGGTAAAACAATCACTTAGAGCTTATCCTGTATGTTCTTGTCTCTAGCTGGTTCATTGCTTAGATTTAGGCCCTAATTTGATACTTTCAAATCTAAAATTGAAGCCCTATGGGTCCATTTTGTACACTAAATTATCAAACTATGACACTGGGAGCAAAGTTGAAGAAAATTGAGCAGAAGTGAGATTATCTCAAAGCATCCCAAATATAAAAAAGACAAGACGTCATACACCAAGAATTTAAGCGTGACCTAAACAAGTATAACAATAGTGTATCTTTTCCAATCCACAAGAAGGAGGCCAATTTCATTCATGGAATACTTAAAGGAAGCATACATTGCATTCAGCACACATATAGGGTTAGAAGCCAACCTCAGTGAGCTGCTGAATTTTGAGTGCAAAAGGGGATGGGGGAGCTTCGACTGGAGTCCCCTCAGGTGTGACAGGGGTAGGCTTCACCTGCTTCTTGAGCTCATTAATTTCTTCCTGGATTGTCCTCACTCTCCTCCATTGCCAACCCAAGTAACCTGCCCACAACGTGTACACAAACAGCCCTCCCATCACAATTGGGTGTATCAGAGCAAATGTCCTTCCCTCAAATATCCCAAACTCCCCATCTGCAGCAAGTGCATCCTAATCCACACACACAAAATTCAGAAGAAAAAAGAATAGTAAATTGGAAAAAATCATTCCAACAACTGTAAGTTTTATACAAAAGCACGGCAAGAGTTCACTATGGGAAAAAACTCTTCCATCTGTCCACGTGACATGCTCTAATTGATTCGTAGTTGTATATATTTTGGTGTACATCTAAAGTCGGGTTTATATCTAGTATTGGGTTTGAAGCGTTTTTCTTTTAGATACAATGTTATCATCCGTTTACATGTGAAACAGTGGAAAAGAAAATCCCAAAATCTATACTTTATATATGATCAAACATTGGTAAAGTAACGATTCTCGATATGAACGCTGCAGAAAATAGAGAGTGAGATTAATGAAGTTAATTACTAAATTGTACTTGCCTTGGTGTCCAGCAAAAATGGCAATGTGAGAGCTGTGAGAGGGAAAGAAGTTGACTTAAGGCGGTCAATGGTGGTTATGAGGACCTTTGTTGAGCCCTTGCCATTGCTGGGTTTTGTTGGGATTGATGAACTTTGTTGGATTTTTGAGAGGCAACCAGTAGGCTTTGGGGGAAGCATGGGGAGTCTGAGGAGGCTGAGTGTGGCTGCCATGCTTCTTCTCTGATTACTGGGCAGTGAGGACGGCAGGGTTCTAAAGTGTCGGGGGGTGGGAAGATAAGGAAGTGAGATTGCAAGATGGGGATTGTGTCCATTTGGTTTGCTGTGCTTTGCTGATTGTGTAGAATGGGGCCCTCTTTCACTTTTATAGAAGGAACGAGTATGATCGATCCACAGCCCAAGGAAGAAAAATTTAACTGGAATGTGTTATCCATAAACTCCATTTTACTTCTCACACATCTTTTTAATTTTCGGTCATCGTATCGGATGAATTGAAGAAGATCAACAGACATAAATTAACAAGGGATGTGTGAGAAGTAATTTGGGATGTGTGAGAAGTAATTTGAGATGTGTGAATAGTACATCCCATTTAACTGGGATGTGTTCTTGGCATTCTTAACTCCCAAGTTCCTATTTTGTTTACTTTTTACATGTGTGGTTATAACCGATTCTCATCTCCATCTTCTTGGCTACAAATTTTGAGCTATGACAGGTTGGTCTAACAGCATTTGGTCTTGACTGTTAGAAAAAGTTTCAAGTTCGACTAATACGTTTGTTGTGAGTAACTTAAGGTTTAGAACAGTAACAGTCTTGTAATTATATTTCAGTCTGATAACATCGACGACTGTTGCTTCATAAAATCACACTTATCTATTCGTAGGTCGCAAAATATGTCAGAGGACAGAATCCAGAACCCAATGAAATTGAACAAGGCTATTTTGGGCCACCTTGATGGGTTGAAAAGCCTATGGACCAGGACCAAGCAGTGTGAGGCTTGAAAATGTGATTGCTGCAGCATGCAACCTTAAGCCACCAAATTGTGTGTTCCTCATTACATATACGTGGTAGGTATATATACAACCTAAAACTTAATATACAAGAAATAAAATCATCTTTGATTTGTATTTATATGTTGTTTCTTTCTTGTTTCTGTTTCTTTGTTCCGAAATTCTAATGGTTAGATATAGGGGTGGTTCGGTATGGGATACCATACCGAAACTAGTATCCCGAATCCCAAACTGAAATTTTTCGGGACGGGAATTTGAAGACCAATCCCAAACCAAATTTTCGGGAATCCCAAATTTCGGGAATCCCAAAATATTTTCGGGATTTTGGGACAAATCGGGAATCCCAAATTGAAATATGAAATTATGAATTGTTCTTCAAATATATAATTCAAGAATACATTTATGAACTAGGAATTTCATTTCATTCACACTACCATTTAATTGAACACTGGCATGCTTGACTCTTTTTATCATAGTCAAAATTCAAATTAATTAAACTCTTTTTGCAATCTGTTGAGAGACAAAAGAATCAAGCCTTCTGAAGTCATCAGCCATGGCAGCAGCAATAATAAAATCCACATGAATATCAAACAGAACATGAAAAATATGCAAGGTGTAGGGCATTCTAGGTTGCTGAGCATGAATTAGAAACTACTAGCATCAATTATAAAAGAATAATATATATATATATATGTATAAATATATATAATAATTAATATTATATATTTTCGGTTTGGTATGGGATTCCCGAAATATCGAGAAGCCAATCCCGAATCCCATACCGAAATTTTGGGATTGGTTCGGGATAGCATCCCGAAAATTTCGGGAATTTCGGTTTGGGAAATTTTTGGTTTGGGATCGGGATTTTTTCGGTTCGGTTCGGGATTTTCGGGAATTTTTTCCACCCCTAGTTAGATAGTAGGTGATCATTCCACAGCCACAACTACTGGAAAGCCACAAGCTTACTCCCTCCATCTGCACCCTTTCACTCCCCTTCAGCATATATTATAACAAGTTGCCAAGTTCAGAATATATGATTTGTATTTCGTGGAGTATGTGATTAACTGACTACATTAATATCGGCTTAATTAATTAATTTTCATGAATACGTCCAATAATGCAAGTGTTCAAGACGCTTCGAAAGTCCATCTCCAACCTAATACTCAAGACTAAATCACACTATCTATAGTACCCGCTATTTTAATAGATCTCTTACACAACATTGTATGTAAGAGTTTTGTATTTGCGTGTACCGGAAGTTATATATGCCGTGAAGGTGGAGAAAATTCATTGCATTATAACTTATCATGCGGACCTATATTACCCTATAAGATAAATTTTCTCAAGAAATTATAGAGCAAACTATCACGTGAAAGTGACTTACATATCATGCACAGTACTGTTGTCTGTATTAACACTAACAATCACAAAAAATAAGTCAATAATTCGATAACTAAAGTAGGAGAACAGTTAGGTTTGAAAAATAAGGTAAAAAAAATATATAGTTTACCAAAAAAAAAAAAAGGAACTGTAACGAAAATTTCCCGGTACAGTTCACTTTTACGAAAAACCACATTTTTACACTAAAAAGTCAATCCTGATACTATTCACTTTACCCTTTATCTTATCCTTATCGTTAAAATTCAAACTTTTCAAATCATTTTCATCAATTTTCCTAAAAAAAAAATAGCAAAAGTATAGGAAGTTGACAAACAAGGAGTATTGATATTGAAATTACATTCAAAACCAAATGCCGTAAATATATAGGTGTTTGCAATTTTTTGCGCAGAAAGCTTGTGCCTTGTTTGTACCCCATGAACAACGTCTTGACTGTTCTTAAGGGAGAGCGAAACAAATATCTGATTAACCTAAACCCGTGTCTAATCCGCGTCTAATTAAGATAATCAATGAAATGTACTAATCAACGCTCTATCAAGTCGGGCCCTACTCCTAGCTTTGTAAAATAGAGCTCATGCTTAGTTGTTTAAGCATACGTCGGTCTAAATAATATATCCCCTTAATCATATGTCATGTTGGTTTAAATTACATAAAATTATCTCAACTAGAGATCGAACTACAATCTCATATCTCATATTTTAAAAATTATAATATCATACATTATCTTACGAATTTGTTACAATATTATACCTCATGTTTTAAAAATTATAATATCATACTTCATCTTATGAATTTGTTACAATATCATACCTCATCTTAAGGCAAAACCCAATCCCTAATCCAACTGGATTAAAAAAAATTAAAAATACAATTATTTAAATATTTTTATTTTTAAAATGTGGGACCCACCCCTACAAACCCTCACCTTCTTCCCATCCTACCCGTCTCCCCCCACCCTTCCTCCCTTCACTCCAAACCCAGAACCCATCTCCACCTCCCTCCCAATGGCGCTCCTTCTCTTCTCCAGCAACCTTAGAACAAGTGCTGCTCCACCGCAACATGGGCCTTTTTATAGGCATCTCAATTCCCAAGGTTCTCTGCTTTCAAAAGGAAAGCTTTGAAATTGGTTTTTGATTTAAAAAAAAAAAAAAAAAATTGGTTTTTGATTAAATGGGGTTTACCATTGATTGCAATAATGTGCATTTCAATTTGGGGAATTTCAAATGTGGATTTTTTCCCAGATTTTCTTGAACGAAATCAGTTTTTCGGGTCCAAGATCTTGACTCGAATTCTACCTCTTCTTGCCGTCGTCGGATTTTATATTCTTCCTCTGCCCCTCCTCACCTTCCACAAGCCTCGAGAAGGTCCTTGAAATACCCAAAATCCTACAAATGGTTTCAGATTGCAAGCGAGGGTTTTTGGGGTGGTGCTCACGAAGGTCCTTGAAGGAATTGAAGTGTGCAGCTTGCTTGAGAAGAAGGATGTGCCCCTTTTTAATATTTTAACTTGGGCGGGTTGATGATAACTTGGTGGTGGAGATGGAGAAGGAGAGGACGGCGGTGGGGGAGTGGGTCTGATTTTGGTGGTGAAGGAAGGAGGTAGGGGGACGGGTAGGTTGGGGAAGAAGGTGAGGGTGATGGGTTTGTAAGGGTGGGTCCCACTTTTTCTCTTATAAAATGTTTAAATAATATTTTTTTTCATATTTAATTAATTTTTTTAATCCAGTTGGATTAGAAAGTGGGCTCTACCTTTAATCACATCAGCATTTAACAAAAAAAATTGACAGAGGTACCCAAAAAAGTAATACACTGTAGAAAATTATTTTACTATATGGTGTCAAATTTGTGTAGTTTATGTAAATAGTTTCTTTTTTTTTCTTTAAAAAAAAAAAAAAGAGAAAAATTGATGTTTCACCACGACAGTCTATTTTTTGGGAGGTCGAAAAGACTCACAGAGACATTTCAACATATCCTAGCCACCATCGTGTGATTCATAAGCATCAAGAATCGAGCCGAAGATATGCCGTGTGGAATACCAGCCTAAAATTTGTTCTCAAACTTTCATAAAACAAAAAAGGTAGAGTCAAATTTTTGTCTTTGTTTTTCCAGTGTAATTTTATTAGTGTAAAAATGACAAGAGCGACTTGATCAAATAACTCAATTAAAAATATTAATCCTTGAACATTTTCACGCATAAAAAGTTCAAGGCGGAGTTTTTCTTTACGCAAGGAGAAATGAGAACACCATACCAGCAAGTACTTCAACAGCTTCACGCCAATAGAAGAGAGTTCTCTTAGGGTTTGATGTCATAATAATTTTCACGAGTCGTAAAACTTGCACTGGCTTTTTATTTTGGTCATGTTGGGGTCAAATATACACAAAAAATTATGGGAAAATTGTGTTAAAGTATCCTTAAGAAAAAAAAGTAAGCCAGACAAATCCTATATCTAATAGAATATACTGGAACAATACTTTACTTTGCTACTCAAAAGAATGAGTAAGACGTTCTACTCAAAACTCTTCACATCAATTCACAGAACTTTATATTTATGATTCTATGGTTCTAACATAATATGACACAATATCTTTGTCTTACTGAATTAGGGTTCCAATAAATTAGTTGTAGAGAGTTAGGATTCGAAGATATATTCTTACTCTATTAGGATAAAACAATAACATGCATGCAAAGTAACTTGAGAAGCAAGATCTAAAAGGTAAGCAATTGATATTCACAATGAGTTTTACATTATCTACTTACTATAATTGATTAACTAAACAATTTTAGTTTGAATTGATTGTTTTGCAATGATTATCCTTATAGTATTGATAAGTCCCTGACCATTTTATAAATCACTCTACAAAAATCATTTCTTTGGTTTTTGAGTTAGGTGATTTTTAAAGACAATATTTTAGAGAATACTTAAAAGAGAGACCGATAGATCGTTAAAATACAATTGAAATAGTCCCTGCAAAGGTGCCTTTCAAATAAGATTGTGAGATTCTTCAACTGAAGCTCTATATATATATAAGAAGAAGAAGAAAAATTAGGCAAAATGAAAAGGAAAGTTGGGCTAAATTGGCTTTTGGAACGCTTCAAAGTGGGTAAGTGCTGACGCTCGTTCAACTCTGAAAGCTGAAATTGCAAGAGTAGGAGGTGCGTAGAACTTAAAAGAAGATACCTTTTTGTATGCCTTTGTTTTGTTTGAATCTGTCACTTAGACAACGTACACGCAAGAATTTCAAAGCTGATGGAATTTTTTGGCGTTGAAAATAATAAAGTCATCAAATCGAAAAAAAACTCGTGCAGGCAAGCGAGCCGGCGAATTGGTTTGCCCTTCCATATGGAGAAAAAAGTAGGGCCAATTGCGGCCGTAAGCAGTTAGACACTTGTTCGTTTGTTGGTGACTTGGTACGTCACATACACATTACAAGCAGCTATCGACGGACACTTGGCTGATGCCTTTGCATGGTATGAATCGATTAACCCAAAAAAAAAGATTCAAAGGTGGCATAAGTATGTTAGATGATGTGGTTAGCTGGTAAAAGAACAAGAAAAGAATATACGAATATATATACATATATGTATATGTATATATATGTACCATAAATTTGAATGCACTTTGGGTTTGGGGCGTGGTTTCAGTACCACGTAACACTAATTGCTACATGTGATTTAACTGTTAGATTTTATTTTTACAAAAAAAAAAAAAAAAAAAATTATGAACTTTGTAGAACTAAAATATCTTTAACCGTTAGATTTTTTTATTTTCCATTTTTTTTGTTTATGTAGATAAAGAGCAGCGTGATATATTGCTCGCTACTATGGAGTACTAAAATATCTCTCTTGTCGTTTTATGTTGAACAACGAGGATTGCCCTGTTATTACCCACTAAGAGTTTGCGTCTCATGGCTAGGGTTGTGGGTGCAAATTGGAATGCAGTTCGATTTCACCATTAAAATTTTCAATCGAAACCTGAGAATTTTTTAATCCAAATACATTTGAAAAATCAGAATGAAACTGGCATGCATTTATAGATCACAATTTTCCGTTTCAAAATTTTCCAAACTTATTCCAATAAAAATATATTCCGAAATGTTTCGATTTTTATAGTTATTTACTAAAATTACCATTTATTAATTCAATGCATTGTTGGTTGAAAACTTGGGTAAGTAGCAATAATGTCTCTCCTTTTCAAGTAAAGATGAGTACGAAATGAGAGATAAGATAGGAAAGAAGTGAGAAAGAGATATGCGACAATTATACACAAATCAAAATTAAAAATAAAGACTAATTATTCCAATCAATTTTCCTAGAAGATGAGAAAAATCATTATATTATCATTAACACTTTTTCTTTAGGAGTGATTAGCATCTCAAATTATTATTTTTAATTACAAATCGAATCCGAATAAGATGTTGTATTATTCAGTACATAGTCTGAGTTGGAATTTAATAAATTTGTGGACTAATAAAAGTTATTCTCTATATCTATATATATAAAGGCAGAAGGTCCAAGGGATAAAGCTTTTATAATACCCAAATTATCCATCTCCCATTAAAATTTCAAAAAAAAAAAAAAAAATTAAAAACAAACATATAAGGTGGTTAGTAAGTTCATTATTTTCAAAATATATTTTAATAAAAAACAAGAAAATCTAAAATAAATAAAATTAAAACAATATAAAAATACACGTGTGACAATGGGCTATTATAATAGAGAGAGATTATGGTTTCATCACTGGTACTAAATACATGGTAGAGACGAGAGAGATCCACACCCGCACATTATTACAAAAATGAAAATTTTATATCAAATTTATATTAAAAAATAAATGAATAAATAAATAAACAAAAAAGTCACATTAAGCTAATAAAGAAAGGGCCATAAAACGCATCAGCAATGGGCTGGACAGCAGCTAACAAATGACAGAGAAATAAAATAAAATAAAAATCTCAATATTCCATTTATTTATTTACTATTTTTAGTGAAAATTTTTATTTTATTTTAATTTTATAAAATCCAGAATTCAAACATAACACAGCCTTTGCCTTTAACTTGGCTTAATTTGCTTCACTCTTGGCTTTTGCCCCATCGAAACTTGCCGGCAAGTGGCCGTCTCCTAATTAAATACTCACTTCAAAATTCAATCCTCGTAGGCTCCTCCTCCCTCTGATTTCTCTCTTATCTATAAATCATTTTCTCAAATTTTTCAATTTTCTCATCTGCTTCTTCTTCTTGTTATTTTCCAACATCCGACGCTCTGCACTCGTACCCAACCCGCCATGATTTTCCCTTCGAAAAGAAGTAAGAGACCCATCAAAATCCCCTTTCCACCTAAAAAATCCCATCTCTAATCACCAAATTCCACGACTTTTTGGGGAAATCGAATTGGGTTTTTTCCCCAAATATCCAAATTATGATTCTTTCCAATCCATTCTTTCTTGCAGTTGTAACAATCTGTATATCTGTAGCAATCCGCGTTGCGCTGTACAGAACTGGGCTGGTTTACATCGTGAAAAAATGGTGGCGGCGGTTCGAGGATTGCTTCCATGTCTACCAATCGTTCAAAGTCCCCGAATACAACGAGAGCATGCAGGAGAATCAGCTCTACGGCCGAGTCACCGACTATCTCAACTCGCTCACCTCTGTTGAAGATTCGGACTTCACCAATCTCGTCACCGGAAAAAAACCCAACGAAATTGTTCTCCAGCTCGATCCCAATCAGATCATCGAGGACAATTTCCTCGGTGCTAAGGTGATTTGGCAAGCAGAGGGCGGCGGCGGCGGGAGTAGGAACTTAGTGTTGAAGGTTCGGAAAGCTGATAAGAGGCGGATTCTGCGGCCGTATTTGCAGCACATCCACGTCGTCGCTGACGAGCTCGAGCAGAAGAAACGGGTGTTGAAGCTTTACATGAACGTCGACGCGCCGGACAGAGCGTGGAAGCCAGTCCCCTTCACTCACCCGTCGACCTTCGAGACCATATCAATGGAGTCCGATCTCAAATCGAAAGTCAAATCAGATTTGGAGTCATTTCTCAAGGCGAAACAGTACTATCACCGTCTAGGTCGGGTCTGGAAACGGAGCTTTCTGCTATACGGGCCGTCGGGTACAGGAAAATCGAGCTTCGTCGCCGCCATGGCCAATTTCCTCGGTTACGACGTGTACGATCTGGACCTCTCGCGGGTCAAAGACGATTCGGAGCTGAAGATTCTTCTGTTGCAGACGACGAAAAAATCGGTCATTGTAATCGAGGATTTGGACCGATATTTAGCCGAGAAACCCGCGGGTCTGAGCTTTTCGGGTATTTCGAATTTCATGGACGGGCTGCTGAATTCGTGCTGCGCCGAGGAGAGAGTCATGGTGTTCACGATGAATTCGAAGGACCACGTTGACCCGGCCTTCCTCCGACCGGGTCGGATCGACGTCCACATCCACTTTCCGCTCTGCGATTTCGGAGCATTCAAACATCTCGCGACGAGTTATCTCGGGGTGAAGGAGCACAAGCTCTTCTCGCAGGTGGAGGACATTTTCCTGAGTGGGTCGAGTTTGAGTCCGGCAGAGATCGGCGAGTTGATGATCGCGAACCGGAACTCGCCGAGTCGGGCGATTAAATCGGTCATCACGGCTCTCCAGACGGACGGCGATAGGAGGGGCACGGGAGTGTGCGGAAGGCGGGTTGGGTTTGATGTCGGGTCGACAAAGTCCGAATCGGGTGAACCCGGCGGGATGTTTTGCAGGGAAGGTGGTGTTCCTGCGGTTAGGGATATCAGGAAGTTGTACGGGTTCTTGAGGATGAAAAGCAGCAGGCACTCCTCTCATTCTCAGTCGTTCGATGCGGGTTCGCCACACACCGAAGGTTGATCGGACGGCTGGGAAATGTGAAATGTACGGGGGGCATTACGTGGTGAAATGTGATTGGGGGACATTGTCGTTTTTCTTTTGCTCCAAAAGAAAACACTGTCGTTTTAGTCTCTGGAAAAACAGAGAAAATGCATTGGCATACAGCATATAATTGAATAGGGAAAACAATTTGTAATTTGATTTGATAATTTAGATATATTTGTTAGTTGGGATTGGATGCTTTGTGGATAGATTGATTGAAAATTGGGAATGTGATTCCTTCTTTTATTCCATTTTTATGCTCTGATTTTTTGTTAATACACAATTTGGAAATGCACATGACATATTCATAGGTTAATTCTTTGCTATACCTCCTGCAACTCAAGTTTAACTACGTTTTTTCCTTGAAACAAAATTATCACTATTTTGCACATCGGAACTCAATATTTGCTTTGTTTTGTTGAGTTCGGTCTATCGATTATGTTAAATTTGCTTATTTGTCATGAACCGAACCCACTTCACTCGATAGGCAATTTGAAAGCATCGATGGAGGTCATTGGGCCTGCGGCAGCTCGAGGGGGCTGACAAGCATGTTCGAATTGCATACTTGACCTTTGATGAGCGGATAAAAGATACTCTTAACTATTTGAGCTATAAGTTTCTTACAGTAAATAACGTTTCTAATATATTAATTATATATTATTTTTTTATATGACTGATGTGGAATCATATTTTTCAACATTCAATCTCAAAGATTATAAAATGAATCAGTTATTATTTTCTCTAATTCTAATTATAGGTTAATAAACGCGTTTCGATGCTTTCGAAATAGTAACACTAGAATCTTATTCTGCAAATAGAAAAGAACTAAAGGATTCACAGAAAAATATACTTGGATCTACTGCAAGTGACCAAACAAAGTGACAAACCCATAAACCTCAATCCGTGTGTATGATGTCACACTGTATTTACTGTTTGGTGTCTAACCAAATTGGTATTCCAATTTTTTGTGTGGCTAATTTACAAATCTGTGCAACCGCGGCGCCCACATTTTCCTGCTGTCATCATCGGTCATGATTTTTTCGGCCTGCCTTCCTTTTCATGTCGTTTTTGTCATTAACCGCAGGATGAGCCAAAATTAATTGGCTGCGTTTTTCCTCCTTAAATAATCGTAGCTAATGCGCGTTTGCTTGTCAATTCTTGAAGATATGATGCTTCAAATCATCGTTAAGTGGCTGAAAATTTGTAATGCTGGAAATTCTGAATTTATTGGGGGAATGTTTTGTCTGGCAAATGGTTATTTTGAGTGGTTTTTATATGTTCTACCCCAGCCATATGATTTTAGACACACAAGTCTGTCTGATAAATATGAGTAGTAGTAGATTAGATCTTTGAAGTTCAAAAGTTCGAAACTCTGTGTTGTAACTAAAAAATTGTGTGCCATATGTGCTATCAAAAACGCTGACTTTTGATTCTTGTGAAGAAGTCGTTGCAAGTTTACCAATTTTTTATTGCACAGATGGACATTATATGTTATGTATCAATTATCTTTAGAGAAATCAAACATTATTGATCTATCCTAATTTTAACTTAGTACTCACTTTTTTATTGTCACTCGGACGAACTTCAACGAAGTGTCATGACATATGTTAAGATTAATTCTGAAGGTGTAATTATGTATATAGTCAAGATTTTTCGTTTCTTAAAAACCTAGGTTAGTAGGAAGAAAGTCCTTCCCTCCGTGAATGGCTCTAGGGTTAATTTAGAGAGTTGGAGGTCTTTTCATCCCTGAGGTTTTGCTCCAGGGTTTTGGCTCTCTCCATTGCTCTCGTTTTCAATTTCTTAGGTTTACCTACAAATCTTCTTGCATACTGCCTTAACCTCAATTCTAACCCACCATTCTACATATCTTTCCAGATTTTTGGGTCTCTTCCTTTGGGGGTAAGATATTTGTGTTTATATAATTCATTTGATTTAGCATCACGTACGTAATTTATAGTTGTTAGAAGAAAAAGTCCCGAGTTTAAAGTTTATAAACGACACTTGCATAGTTGCAAATAAAAATAAAGTCCTACGACTTACTACGACCATTACCATCGATGCATGACCATTATAATTTGCAGTAATATGAATTTCAAACCAGTAGTTACTTACTATTCTCTTTACAAAAGTTCTCCCGATTGATTTTTTTTTTCTCTCATAATTGATTTGTTTTTGTTATACTTTGCAAAAAAAAAAAATATATATATATATATATATTGTAATTGTAGCTGGCATGTTGAGTCAGTCCAGCTGGTTGCTTTATCATGAATTAATTTTTTTTTAAGTTGGGTGCCTCCTTGGGGTATGTCTGATATGGACGTGGATCAAACCGCCCATTCCCCAGCATGATTAACCCTATTCCTTTTGCCACCTTGACACTGTCTCACAACACCCAATTAAAAGAGCTTTTTGAAATTATTTAGATATAATCATGTAAGTATATGGTAATAATTTCTCTTAGGAATCAATAAAAGTTGTAGGATGATCTATGCACACTTTTTTTTTTTTTTTTTTTTTACTTTTCACTTCTCTTTTTTATCTCTCACATCTGCTGTTATTGGATTTGGATCCTTTCCGGATCCCCTCCCTGGAGATCCCGAGGATCAAGACACAAGAATCGTATATCAAAGATGTCATAATTAAATGTTTTTTACGCAAAACGAGAGTATTTTACTTTTAAAAATATAAAAAATATTTAATTATGGCCACACGATTTTTGATGAACGGTCATTGTGCCTTATTCCCCATGATCCCCAGGGAGGGGATCCGAAGAGGATCCAAATCCCCTGTTATTCTCTATAATTTGAACATATAATTTATTCGATCTGACAACAAAAAAATTAAAATGTGTATGTAAAAGGTGAAAATGAGTGTTTCACCTAGGAATGGACAACGGTTATGGCGCGCGGGTAATCGCGGTTATTTACCCATAACCATTTATGCACATACCTGCATAACCGTTTACCCGTTAGTTAATTGTCTAAATGGTTATACACATACTCATAACCGTTTATAAACGGTTAACCATACCCATAACCGCATACTCATTTAACCGTAACCATTTAATACCCGTTTACCCATTTATCCTTTTTAACCCGTTTATCTTTTTTTTTTTTTTTTTTTTTTACCATTATCCTTTTTTCACCAGTCTACATGTTTTTTAACAACTTGAAAATTAAAAAAAAAATTGTCATAATTTTCTTTTTTTTTAACAATTAAACACCGTTATAGGTACATTTATCATACATTTCCGTATTTTATTTTTTTAAGTCCTTATACCATTCCAATAATTGAAATAATAGTTTGCAGACTATATTTTTAACTGTTACCAATGAAGGTAAATATAATATTTGCTAGGTATTATTGGGTTACAAAAATTATTTAGAAGACATTTTTGTCAATTTTACGGTTACCCGCAAGGAATTTAAATTAATTTGGCAAATTCCTTGATGATAAGAATCATCATTCCTGTAGCAGTGTTATTGAGAGAAGGACCGATGAATTCCATGCTAATTTATTGGGTGCTAAGTATTATTGGATTGAGAACATGGTTTGTGTTAATTTTACATATATAAAATAAATATGTAAACGGTTACCCGTTTATAACCGTGGTTAATACCTATAACCGCCGGTTTAAATTTTGCTAGTAAACGGTTATATCCATAACCGTAACTGTTTAATTTAAATAGATGGATAACTGCGGTTACCCATAACCAATGGGTATTTGCACATCCCTAGTTTCACCCAATCTGTATAGTTAGACACTAACAAGACCATCCATTACACGAAAAGTTTGTTTGTGCTATTCTAATCAACAAGATATAAAGTAATAGGCAAACAGAATTTTAGCTTTAACGATTCTCATTCATAATCTATTAACATAAATTTGAAGTTGTTTGATAAATTTTACGATGGTATTGTTAAATGAAAGTTCTGTAGCAGTAGACAATTTAAGTATCGATCATAAACTATTTGCACAAGCTTTTCCATTCAGCTCTTACCTTATGATTGATAATCATATTACTCTTAGAACGATATATGCTACTATTTTTTTAATGTCGAGAGAGCTTTTAAATTTGAATCTCTCTTTTTCATTGACAAAAGAAAACTAAACTCTTACGATTATAAGTAAAAATTGATAATTATTGTTAAAGCATGGGCGGTAGTTGGGATATAATGAAGGGCAAAGCTAAGCAAGGGTTATATGATATATGTTAGGCATGATACTTCAAAAGAGAAATGATTTCCTTCCAATTTTATATTATTAGTTGTATGTTATATATATATATATATATATTTTTTTTTTAAAGAGTTGCTACCCGCAACCTAACTCATGATTGTGTCTGACACTGTTTTGGAACAGACGGATAGATGGAGAAGTTTTTGATAAAAACGATGTTTGATGGGGAGCAGTTCCTATACCAACCAACACTGCCTTGAGCTTGGGGCATGCAAGTCTTATGAGAAAAATATTAGTTTCGTAACACTGATTTTTTATTTTATTTTAAAAAGAGATAAGCTTGGCTTGATTCCTCCTCAAATTACTTCGTGTTCGATTCACAAAACTTCATTTTAATGGTTGGAATTGCTTATAATATAAAGCACTTTGTAGAGATCATCTCTATAAAAAATTAATCGAAAATAAGATCGTTTAGTCAATCAATAGTAACAAATATATAGACGGTTCATAATAATTTTCCCAAAGTCGTTCATCTGATTTTGTATAGTTTGATGACTAAATGATCTCATATTTTATTAGTTTTTTGTAGAGGTGACCTTTATAGCGCGAATTATAACTGTTCCAATCATAAACCCTAAGTTTCATGAATCAATCATGAAATGAATTGAGGAGAAACATTGAGAAGGCAAGTTAATTCCAAAAACAAATTAAACAGTAATGTCAAATTCACCTCAACATTGCTATCACACGAAGACATTGTGAATATATTGATCAACACAAAATAAAATAAAAAGGTACAATAAGTTAGGGTACATGGAAACATAAAATGAAATGGAAGAGGCAGAAAGGATGACCTCTACTCAAACCAAGAAGGCAACAACGAAACTTAGATCTATAAGGTGAGAAATTCATTAAAGCAACTCTTAAAAGAAGTGAACGTTCGGTAGCCCTAAAAGATCATTGTAGATGCAAATTTCGTACGTAGTTGAATTGATGAAATTCCACCTGCAAACAAGAAACATTATTAGCCTAATTGATGAACACCTAGAAAAGAAGGGAGGGTATCCGCCAAAGGGTCTCTAATGCCTAGGTCAGAAAAGTGGTTCAAGAGAAATAAGAACTTGAGAGAGTTATGAGTAGTGGCAATTATCGTTTTTCTTATTTAACTTGGCTATATATAACATAAACCCTAACATGCGGCTAGGTTGAGAGGTTGCAGGCCATACTAGGTAGAACTTAACGTTTTGCTAGTGATGGTGTAGACCATTCTTCGCAATTTTTCTAGTACGTAGTCCTAAAGGTTCATGCTGGTAAGAGCAAAGGTGCGCCGACACTCAAAGATGAGACTCTGAATAGTCGGTTTCTTGCCACCATTTAGCCAGGTATGGCCCGATAACAAGAGATATCATGGGCCTGAAACACTCTTGATACGTTGATGACCCAAAAGTCCAATACTCACAAGACAAACATGTGACACGATTTGCACACCGAGACCCAAAGTCAGTAGAAACCTCAAGAACAGAAGCTACAAATTTAAAAAATAAAAAATTGAAGGGGGATGAAAATAAAATTATTCTTATATATATAAAAAAATATTAAAAAAACTCATAATTCTTTACAAGGCTAAAAAAATAAATTAATAAACTGCTAGCTTTGTATCTAATATGATCTCATCCCGCCTACCCTTCTGATTGTTTAGTTCGTAAACCTGCATAAGCAATGAGGGGTTAGCTTCAATAGCTTAGTATAGACATATCCTTTACCACAATAAATTGACAATACTAAATTAAGTGTCATCTAATCATATATTTCATTCATGATCAATTAGAAACAATGGTTCCATGATGATGCATGAATGTTCCCTCATTCCCACCTCTGTACTCATTAATACATACTCTAAAACACATAAGCTTTACCGTGCTTTGGCCTCGAGTATCTTGTTATATGAATTACCACCCATAACATATTCGCGTACCTATCATTGTCATCTCAAATGACAATGTACATCTTTTGGTCGTCAAGCCATACCTCACATAAAGACCGCCTTTACAGCCGATCAATTATACTTACTAGAAAGCCTGGTCTCTGGGTTGGATCCAATATTTCTAGTACACCAAACTATTCCAATTTCCTCATGACACAAACCCATGTATTTCACACGACTCATGCCTCTCATTATTGCAATGCATGATATGAATTTCACCTGATATATGCATGCCGTAATCAATAACCAATAAACATCCAACTGAAGCAATAATTAATACAATAACATTCAACCACGTTTATCAATCATTGAGACCAACAATTATATAGCATCAATCATTGAGACCAACAATTATATAGCACTTCACGAAATTTAATAAAATTAATATTCGTAATGGTCTGCCCGAATTCCCTTGAACATTGCTCTGAATTACAAATACAAGAATCCACTTCGAGCAACTCCTATTCACAAAAGTAAGATATCACTAGATGCATGACGTCAATTCTAATCCTAATTTAATTAGAATCACTAATTCAACACCACTCAATCAAAAAGTCACTTGGGTTGATCTAAAATAACCTGGTCATTATAAAAAACCTCTTGAATATAAATAGCTTTGGTAGCTAAGTGAAGATATCCTTTTACACTTGTATAAAAGCTTTGCATAATATTCGATACCAACATGCTGCTTTCTTTGGGGTAAGGATGCTCTCTGGATCCTCCAGATCCCTGGGCTTTCTACTAGTCAACGCCGATTTTGTAACCTTCGTCCTCATGGCTAGCAGGCCCGTCTTCCTCTCGCTGCCACCGGCGATGACGGTGGCAGGGATCAGATCGGCCTCCAGCAGGCCCGTCTTTGTCCGTTTGTTCGGAGTGGAACGGTGGTGGTGGTTTTCCTTTGAGTCGACTCGGATGCTTCGATGAATTCCCAATGCGTGAGACCTAGGAATTCTTCTCTTTTTTCAATTTCGAAGAGAAAGCGGAAGGGAGAATTTTTTTTCTGACCGCATGATTTGTATCAAACGACCAAGATAACTTGGTCCACAGAACCCAGAGGAGACAGATTCGAAGAGGATCCTTACCCCTCTTTGAGAGAGTCAAAACAATATATAAATATAATAGCTGTACAACATATACAATAGTGTGATAAATTATCATCTCAGTAAAAATTAAATTTCTAAATTATTTTTTCAAGAAAAAGCAATCCTTAAATTATAAAAATCTATCAATGACATTCCTAATATTATATTCGAAGCTACTATATTCAATTTTCCATCAATTTAAGTCATGTTACCTGCATGCGATACACATTGGAGGGTAGATTAATAGTTTTTCATATAAAGAAATAGTGTATGGAGTTAACTTTGGAGGGTAAATTGATAGTTTTTCATAAGAAATGGTGTAAGTTAAACTTCGGATGGTAAATTAGACGTTAGATTCGCAACAATATGAAGCGTTAAGGGCTTATATGCGAGAAAATAACGGTATAACACTCTAAAGTATGTCAAGTGACTTAAGTTGACGAAAAATTGGATAAAATAGCTTTGAATATAATAGTAGGAATAAAATTGGTAATTTTTAATGAATTTAGAGACTTATTTTACCGAAAAAATAATTCATGGACCTAATTTTCACTGAGGTGATAGTTCAAGGACTAAATCGACACTTCATCTTATACAATATATATAGTTTGAAAAACAGCTTGGCTTAGATCAAGTATATACAAACCTGTTTATACATATATAAATAGGATGGTCATTAAAAATTAATTCCATATTTTTATCAAAGCAACATAATTTGGATACTGTAAAATAGTTTGAGAAAATATCAAACTCTCATGTATTAGTTATCAAACCGTTTAAAATATGAGATATGAGATTGTGGTTCAACCATAGTTGAAATAGTTTCGTGTTATTTACTCTTAATAGTATGTAATATAAGACCAAATAAAAAGTAAAAATACTACTACCGTATAAATCATTTGACCTAATTGGATCCCAATGATCAATTAATTAGAGTAGGAAATTAAATAAAAATAATTGACAAATTATCAATTGAAAAGATTAAATGGATAATAATACAAAGCTAAATGAAATTAATTGCGCCATTTAACATATAAGTATTATATAAGTATTTTTGAAAATACAGGTCTTTCATACCTTCCATCATGATGCTAAGAGTAAAATTGTCATAACGAGCATACAATCCATGTGTCATTATTCTATTTGATGAATTTAGTTTATGTTTCCCACAGCCATAAGCAAAAGTTACACTAGCACGTGGAGGACAAAAATTTCACTAATGAATCTCAACATGTTGAATTTCGAAGTTTGCTAAACAATCAATCATCTTATTATCTTTGTGATAGATATGAGAAATCTGAATTTGCATAAAAGATAGAATGGTGTAAGAGTTATACCAATCAACCGATAAACATCAAACCACTTGACACGATCTATTAGAAAATAAAATGCACAGTCAAAGCAATCACACGATTAAAAGAATGTAAACCCATCACCAAAGCCATACTTACAACATGAATAATGCCTTAAGCCATGCCTTGGAGGCAGGGCCCAAATATGGTCCATGCTACCTACTGCCAAAGATCCACATTTGATGATCTGGCTGCATAGGGACTTTCTCTTTAATGATCCAACCAACCTAACCAAGTATAGACTTTTTGTTCATATATCACGCCACTAGGATCGTCTTTGAGATTTCAGAAGTCCTATATTGAATTTAAAAGAGGGTCCCTTCTTAAGATATATATATATATTAACAATGTATTGATGTTAGAAAACAGTTACTTGAATCAAAACAAATTTTAACACTCATTGAATGCTAGTTTACAAATGTCATTAATTATAGTAAAAAGAGTTACAATGACACTCCCCGACCTAAATCGAGGCATGCTGGCCGTCACGTGAGGGTGACGTAGCTATGTGCGTAGTGCGGAAGAGATAGTAATACGAAATATGTGGGTAAATAAAAACCAAACTAATTACTTTACACTATGTAAGTATGTAAGTACGAGTGAAGGTGTTTAAAATAGTAATGCAAGTGCTTAGAGCGTAGGTAACCAATCCATGCTAAGAATAACATCGAAGTCAACAATATCTAATGGAACCAGATTAGTTGGCTTACGATGTTCTCCACCAGAACAGGACATCCTTGATATACCCAGCTAATATAACATGTCTCACCTGACCCTCCTGGGATTGCTCGTGAGTTTCTAGAAACAAAACCATGAGTGTGTGGTTGGGGCCCAAAGCGGACAATATTGTGCTACAGTAGAATCGAGTCTGGGATGTGATGGGGGCCCGAGGCGGGATGTAACATACAAACATAACCTTTATTAAATAATCAAAAACAGTTCATTCTTAATTAAACAACCAAACATGAAAAACATAAAACTCTAACTTTGAAGTTTCACTTGAACATATAATATTATTATATATATATCGTTTTTCGGGTGTTATTACTGGCATACAAAATATATCATTGTACTCCAAGTGTTTATATTTAGAAAGGAAAAAAAAATTACTCTTATAAGAGGTGCACAAAGAGATTTTAAAGTACTAACAAAATCAATTTTTTTTTTTAATATAGAACTTATTACATAATATTAGATGACAAAAATTTTGGGAGCCCCTTCAAATTTGGGGACCTATGCGACCACACCTTTTGCTCCCACTCAACGCCCCCTCTGTATCACACAAAGTAGTGATAACAACTTACGTAAAATGAGTTCATGATTATTATAATTTTTCAATCCAATAATATAATGTTATAAAAAGAAATTATTACATATAAAATTATATTATTAAACAGCAGCGTCACGATCTTTGTGAAGTTATTCTATATAAGTTCTTTCATCCAAAGATGCGATTAAGGAGCCGACGTCCACATTGGATTGTCTTTTCGCATTACATTAGGAACGGGAAGAGATCCCATCCAGATCTCTCCCACCAAATTCTAGAGATCCGGAGATCCGGGTTCTTGAAATTTGATCTAATGGTTACAATTATTATAAGGGTCCGGACCTCCGAATTCCTAGGATTTGGTGGGATAGATCCAGAGAGGATCTCTTCCCATTAGGAACAAACCAAAACCTACTCTACAATTTTCGGTGGTAAAGGCGTACACCATATGTCGTTGCAATAATGTTTGACATTTCTGCCTTGGGACATATTTGCTTCTGGACTCTTAGTTTTAGCGGTGTGATTTGTGTGGTAGCTCAATACGGGTTTAAAATTATTTGTGTTTTATGCAAATTATTTCCAGATCAAGAAATTAGTCATTGGATAATATGTACCCATCTAACACTCTTGTAATTAGTTATTCTTGGTAATGAAACTCTATCACTTATGTTAAAAAAATTAAAAAAAAACTTGATATTTGTTAAGCTCTTATAACATTTGGGTTCAATAATCACATCATGGTAACTATAATCACAACGCCAGTCGTAAATACTTACATAGCTCAAGTGATAAAGTACTTACCTCGTCCAAGAGAACTTCCCTCCTTTACTTTTACACATTTTCCTTAGCTACCCAAAACAAAACAAATAAAAGAAACATAAACACCAATGGCTTGCAAACCCAAAAGAATAACGAGACCTCTGCATTTGCTTCTTACAATTGGAATTTAACAAGAGCAAGCAGACAATTTCTTCATCTCACTAATTTCCAATTCCGAACCAGAAATAACATCAATTTTTGCCCCTTTAAGATCAACCCCATTGGATTTTATCTCATTGCCACATTCCAATGCCTTCTTAGACACCACACCATATATTTCCTCAAGAACCCTAAAGAATGCAGAGTCCACATTGTCACCACTGAAAGCTGATGTCTCTGAGAAGAACAGCCCCTGCTCCTCAGCAAACTCAACTGCATCTTCCGTCGGCACGGCCCTCTGGTCCCCGAGATCAGCCTTGTTCCCGATCAGCATGATCACGATCGAACTGTCAGCATGGGCCCGGAGCTCCTCAACCCATCTAGCTACATGATCGAAGGTCTGCCTCTTGGTGATGTCGTACACTAGCATTGCCCCTAATGCACCTCTGTAGTATGCACTTGTAACTGCCCTATACCTACAAGGAAAAACAACAAAGGCATCTTCAATTTTTCACAATTCTTGTCCAAATTTAATTAAAAAATAAAAATAAAACCATGGATTTTGTCCAATAGAAGTTATATTTCTGTTGGGAATATTATTTTTTTCGGAAATTAAATCTATCAGTAAAATTTTGAATGTATTGTTGCAGTTCATTAATGGTGCAGGTGATACATAAATACAGCATCAGCATAAAATCAGGATTCTTTAAGATTTATGCAGATGCCTTTGCTGCTTTCCACATGCACGTCTGTCATGCAGGGCAAAAACAGAAAGAGAAGAAGTGAAGAACCTGTATTTCTGTAAACACTGGGTAATATTATTTGTCTATTTTTAGCATGTTTCTAAATTAACCTGGACTCCTTCTTCATTTGGCACAGTTCCACTAGCTAGATCCCAAATCTCAAATAGTTAAGGCTTCTTGTTAAGTTATTGCACATTTGAGTACCACTATATACCCTAATTTTATTCGTCAAATAATGTGATAGTGTTTAATTATTTCAAATTTAAGTTTATTTTGCCCTATTTATTGTTTTTTTAGTACATCGATATTTTTATACTAGCGAGATGGAGAGTTCAGCTAAGCCACACAATAGGCAGCCTAATTTGGTATCAAATTTGCCATCCACCAAATTCGCAAAGAGGAATATCACCGGACCGTATTACATTGTCCTATTTATTGTTAAAAGTAAAGTAATCACATATACCCTAAACCATGATTACGGTGAACATGTATTCAAGTTTCAAATTCTTTATACCTTATGCATCTATTAGTCACATTGGAAGGAATTGAATCATACACCTATCTAAAACCTAACAAATACTCCATCGGTCATCCTCCCTCGCTACTTGAACTAAAAGATTTCGACTTATTTGTGATAAAACCATTCACATGCTGTTATAGCAGGAAGTAAGTGGTTAAGTTAAGAACAATATTGATCGGTACTGAATCAATTAGTAGTGGACTGTTAAACCCTCTCTGAAATCTTTACAAATGGTTCTTAAACCTCCATTACCATTTGAGTTCAAGACGTACATAAACATTAAAAAAACAAGAAAATTAATTCCTAGAGTTTGAAAAAAAACAAAAACAAAAACGAAAAGGTAAGAGAGAATGATAAAAACTAACCAACCTTTCTTGGCCAGCAGTATCCCAGATCTGAGCCTTGATGAGTTTTCCTTGAATGGTGAGAGTCCTGGTCTGGAACTCAACCCCAATTGTGGACTTGGAGTCAAGGCAGAACTCGTTCTTTGTAAACCTCGACAGAATCTGAGTCTTCCCAACTGCCGAGTCTCCAATCACCACCACCTTGAACACATAATCTATCTTTTCATGTCCAGTCATAACACTAATCTCCCTCCTCACCCTCTCTCTCTCCGCCCTCTCCGCCGCCGTCGCCTCCGCATCCACCCCATTCATTTCTTGGTTCATTTTCTTCTGAAAAAAGGGAGCTCAGAACTTTGGTCTTTCTTTTGGTTTAGTTTAGGAAGTCAGTGGGAGTAAGTGAAAACAACAGAAAAAAGAAAGATCGAGAAAATAATGGTGCAGTCCTTGTCGGTCTCTTAAAAGCAGCAATAGTGGACGTACCCAGCTGCATTATTAAATCATATGGTATAATGGTCTGTGAGATGCATAATTTGGGCTAATAGTGTTACTCATAAGCTGTACAAGTTTGGTTTAGTAGGTTTTTAATTGGGATTTGGTTCCTATCAATCATACTGATCCAGTAAAGCAGCATATAAACTCTCTTCTTTGGACAAAACGACATTTTAAACAACTCTTAACTTGTAGAATTTAGATTTGAGTTTGGATGCAACAAAAGCTTCGTTTATACTGTTGAATTTGTTTATTCCATAATGTTGGTGTTAATTTGTTACCAAAAAAAACCAACTAGTAACTTCACCTCATCAGCTCAACTTTCGAAGGTAATGATAACAGCCTAACAGGGTTTCTTAATTATGAAAGTTGATTTCATCATGAAAACACAAAGCAACCAACTCATTTGAGGCCATCATGCAGTCAGTGTACTAATTGACTCTAAACAGATATATTGGGTTGGGTTAGTTATAAAGTTAGATTCCATCATTTCAATTTTCTAGCAAAAATGAAGGGAGAAATGTAGTCAAATCTTAGACATGTTAACGACTATTAATCTGTTCATTTATTTATTTTATTTTCAGATTTTAAACCCAAGTGGATTCAGATTTGGACAGGACTCAAGTGACTATATTTCTAAATCTTTAATGACAAAAATAAAATTCGACAAATAGTGTTACTATATAATCACTACGAAGTATGAACCATTAGTTTGAAACATTATTCACACACACACACACACACATATATATATATATATATATTGCAAAAATATAACGTATCAGACATCTAATAATATAACTTTTTTTTTAAGGATATCTACTAATTGAATTATAGACAAAGATATTGAGAAAATTAATATCCCATAGGAGGTTGGGCAGTTAAGCCAGCTCTACGTCTACCAAATTACTTGAGTTTCATGCACCATTCATAAATAAATATCTCATAGCCAAAATCTCACAAAATTATTGTATGCACTTCTTAACATAGCGAAAACATATAAGTTATTTAATTTAGGGAACTTTAACGAAAAGTTCTCGGTATTATTCACTTTAACAAAAAATTACATTTTCACACTAAAAAGTCAATTTTGGTACTATTCATTTTACCCTTATCATTAAAACTCAAAGTTTTCAAGCCATTTTCATTAGTTTTCCTTTTAATTTATACCCAAAACTTTTTTTTTATGGTATCAAAGCATGTTGTTCCACGAGTGAAGCTCAACGACCACATGCGCTCCACGTCATCCCGTTTGTGTTGTCCATTTGAAAATTTGTCACACGTGAGAGGGCATTGAAAATGAATCTCACATTAATAGAAGGATGGACCTTACATAGATTGATAAGTATAAAATTTTCTAACTTGTCGCATACATACTTAAAACAACAGTGTATAAACTATACTGTATTGTCATTTGTCATATACTTTTGTTCCCACATTTCATATTTGTGACCTATTGAAATTCCAACATACGAAAATCTTCTTTATCATTTTCCGTCCGCACAGCAACTACTATACAGTGAGTGACCTTAATTTGTGATGTTTGCACCGACAAAATGTTTGGTGCACCTACATTTTGTAAGAAATAATAATGATGACATTGAAGGGAAATTTTTTTGAGGAATGAGAAATGTAAGGGCGCATTTTTAAAAATGAGATTATCTTCATATTTTGAGTATAATATTTTTTTTAATTTTAACATAAAATTTGACATTAAATTATAAAATAATAAAAAATTCATGAAAAATCTTACTTTTAAGAAAATTCCTCCCACTATTTATCATGAGAAATATACAAAGCGGAGGAGGAAACATAAACCAATGCTTAAAGTTATTGCTGCATGGTCAGTACTTAAAAAGTTATTGCCTTACGTATAATTTGGGAAGGCCTACAAGGCAAACAAGGTGGACCCCGATACATATGTATGACAATAATTTGTTAAGGACACGGTGGAATTCACTCGTACGTTTATTTAAAATTAAAAAAGTCATGAATACGATAAACAAATAAGACCATCTCCAATGGTTGGGCTAAAAGCCAAATTTTTTAGCCCGGAAAATTTAGCTTTTAGCCCAGAAACAACTTTTCTGCTCCAACCGTTCTGGCCTAAAATTTTAGCCCGGGATTATTAAAGAATGAACTTATGCTATTTTTTTTGTTAAATTAATTTTTTTTTAAAAATAAATATGTAGACTATCGTAAATTAATTTTATGAACATTTTAATCTAAAAAAATTTAAATTCCGATAAATATTGAAAAATCACTAAATTTCCCACAAAGCAAGCCGTCAACTTTTACCAATCTTTCAACCCTTGGCTAACTTTCAATTCACCAAACTTTGAACACCAAATTTTCAATTCACCAACCGTTGAACACCACACTTTCAACTTTCACCAACTATATAAACACCAACTTTCAACTTTCACCAACTATATAAACACCAAACTTTCAACCAACCATTCACCACCAAACTTTCAGAAATCATCCTCTATATAAACATATGTCCAATATTTGTTGATCACACAACCTTTCAACCTTCAATCATCCTTTATATTCACCCATTTTCAACTTTCAAAGAGTTTTTGTTTCCTAAAAATCCTCAATATCTCATCAATGGGTGATAGAAGAAGGCGTAGTATGGCAATGCAGATGGCACAATACCAAGCAAGGATGGAGATTGAGGATGCAGAATTGTTCAATGCTGAAGTTGAACTATTCAACTCGTTTATGCAATCTGAGCACAATGGCGAATCTAGCCATCGTGGTTCTGTCACGGGGCGTTCATATGTGCAGCGTGATAGAGAAGAGTGTCATGATCGAATGATGAAAGATTATTTCATCGAACGTCCGAGATTTCATGCTCATGATTTTCGGAGGCGGTTTCGGATGAGGAGAGAGTGCATGCTTTGTTGATAGTCTTCCATCGATCATAAACACCACCACCATCCCGCCTGCTACCATTGCAGTTTTCTTGAAACTTTGCAATGATTTTATCCCACAAAACCTTCTTATTTTGATTAGTGCCAACTGCACCATCTTCGCTAACAGAAACCCATGCTAAGCATAGAGCAACATCTTCCTCACAAGTCCAATTACGACCTCTAATATGCTCTCTTGCCATGTTGAACAATTTGGAAATGGAAAGAAATGGTGGAAAGATAAATTGGAAGAATTGTAAGAGAAATTTGAGTTTTGTGTGGATGTTTGAACAAATACATAGGTATTTATAGAGTTTTTGGGTGAATTTTGAGTTAAATATTTTTTTTTAATTATTTCAACCGTTAGATTTAAATTTGGGCCGTTAGATCTTTTTTTTTACCGTTAGATTTGATTATATTTGATCTCAGCCGTTGGATTCAATGTATTTTAAAATAACATATTTTAAAAAATCAAATTTGAATTTGGACCGTTGGATCAACCAACGGTCCTTGAAACACATCCGTTGGATTGCAAAAATAGCCGTTGGACTTCAGCTGGGTGGCCGACAACCCGCTGACAGCGGGGCCCACCCTGTCGGGCAACGTCTGCAAGCGCACCGCGTGGGGCGCGTACGCGAGTGAACGGGCCGAGACTGGCCTTTGGGCCAGCGAGTCCAGTCGCGCGGGGGGGGGGAATTTTGGGGGGAATTTGGCCCAACTTTAACATTTGGCATTTAGCCCAATGTTTTAGCATGGGTTGGAGATGGTTTGGGGGGGAAATTTGGGGGGAAATTTGGCATTTAGCCCATTGTTGGAGATGGTCTAATAGAGGAAGAAGTAATGAGTACGATCAATATTCTCTCAAATCAATTTAATTTCTAGTTTTTCAAAACCCCACACCACATATGCAGACGTCGGTTTCTAGCTTGGTAAAAAAGGGACTTTGAGTGGTTTATTCTTAACTGGACTACATTCACTTTGTATGTAGTTGTATTTGATTATATGAGGGTTGTATACTCTTTACATACAAAGCTTTTAGGCTTAGGAGCATTTTACAAGAAGAATGAAGAATTGGAGAGAGATGGAGAGAGTGATTCTATGACGAGCTTCTCTCTTTTTGTTGTTTGTCGTAGTAAATAAGATAATGAGGTCAGCTCAAATTGGCGATGATATGACTAGTAAATAATAAATATGACAGTTAATGGTCAGTAATAAAACAGAAATTACGACCATATTACCATTTTCTATTGATTTTTATTATTATTTATAAATGGTGTTTGGCACAAAAAAAAATTAAAGCGTTTATACACTCATAATGCTTAAATGGAGAAGCACTAATCAAGTGCTTCCTTCTAAAGTGTTTTCTATTGCATTTTAAGAAAACGTCCATATATTAAAAGCGCTTACGAACAGAATCGTTTTTTACAAAAGCATGTCCCAAACGGACACATCGATGGATGGTGGGAAAAATGATTTATGAGCTGGGCTATGTTTAATGGCCCCGTGTGTCTAATTCAAACCTATTTGTAGTGGGCTTTTCGGCTAGAAATTTGCAGTGGACTGGCCAACATTTTTCTTAACATAACTCCTGGTTATTACTCTTGCAACGTATACATTTCCAAGTGAATTTTGAATCACAAATAAAATTCAGACCAAAAAAAAGGGAGCTGCTTTCATAGATATTACCCAATATTCATTTACTGACATTTATCCTCATCATCTCCTTCTCCTCCATGGATACCTTCTCAAGCTCTGTGTCAACCCTCAATGTCTCCACTCTCTATTCCACCACATCGTCTCGCGAGCTCCACCACTTCAATCCTCAAAGTCCCAGAAAAACTCACAAACTTCCTCCGCAACCACAGCCGCCCAACCTCCTCCACAGCCTCCACTCCACCACCACCAAACCCAGCAGCTTTATCTCCACCAAGACCCCATCTTTTCTTCAAAAGCCTCCCCCGTTATCTTCCACCCGTTCGTTCTCCAACCCCATCCACCTCTCCTCTCCGCCGTCTCCGAACCTCCACAGAAACCCGGCAGCTGGGTACGCGGCGGCTCTCCTGGACATATCCCAATGCTACAGTTCTGTGCATTTGGTGGAGCAGGACATCCGGAGGTTCTTAAAATTACTCCACAACCGGAAGGTGGAAGCTGTTTTGGCCAATCCCTTTGTGGGTTTGGAAGAGAAGGGACAGGCGGTGAAGTTGGTGGCCGAAAAAGGCGGATTCAGCAAGCATTTGGTGAGCTTGGTGAAGATGTTGGTGGGGAAGAAGAAGGTGGGGATTGTGAGGGAAGTTTTGGAGGAGTTTCAGAGGATTTACAGTGATTTGTGTGGGGCTGTGAAGGTGAAGAAGGTGAGGAATTCCTTTGCTGTATGATTTCTGTAAGAAATGTAAAGATTGCAAATGCTGCAAAAACGACTGTTTGTAGTTTTTTTATATTTTAATTTGAATGCAGAAATCCCAATTCGGGATTTTCATGGTTGCTGCTGAAACGATCATCATCTTCTTCTTCCTCAATCTCTCTGTTTGCTGGTGATTCTCTTCTTCCACCATAGCAGGTAATAAAGCTCCATAGCAAATGCCAACAGGAGGCACCAAAAACCATGCTCAACCTAATTGTCAATCCACTGAAACATATCATCTTAATTTTCTAGGGACCCATGCTTAATCGGTTACATACAAAATTAGGTGATTACTCAAACGATATAAAACTTTTACATGAAAGATAAAAAGAAGTGCGAAAAAATAAAAAAGACATGCGAAAATCATTTCATGTATTAGTGTCAAGAACAGCTGTTGACACCAAATAGCTTTTTGAGGACAAAAAAACAAGAATGACGATCCTCTTCAGATCTTTTTTTGTGAGAATCTCAAGAATCCTTCAATCGTATATCGTGCGTGCGGTTAGTTTTCCTCAGGTACTATTTATGTTCAATTTTAAATAAAAAAATTTAGGGTAAATCTCAGTTTACTATCCTCATGTTTCGTGGTTTTCAACATTTAATACATCAAGTTTTTTTTTATCCCAGAGTTAAACGTAAAGTGTAAGTTTTGGGACAGTCTTATACATCCGTTAGTCAAACTGTTAAATCTCCCGTTAACTGATGACATGACGCTTATGTGGACAACAATTAGGCACCACGTGTCATTAAGGGGTCCATATGAATTTTTTTTTTAATTTTTCTTCAGAGAAGGTTCAGTTAAAAACAAAAAATTAAAAAAAAAATTAAAAATTCAAAATTCAGAGAAGGGGAACAGTCAAAAGTGAAAAAGTGAAAATCACTTTTCACTCCCCCAGAAATCGCGATCCCCTATCTCTGTCCTAAACCCTACCAACGTGCAGTCGTTCCACCTCGTCATCGCTCCACCTCGCACGCTGTCGTACGTTGCGCACACTTTTGCACATCAAAGAAGGGGCACCGTTTCTGGGCAAGGTTGTCGTGAAGTCATCGTTGGCAATAAGGTGGGAAAAAAGGAGGATTGAAGTAGCTGAAACAACAATTTATTGTAAGCGACCTACCTTTTTCAAAGTGTAGATAATATGGGTTTATGTTTTTCGATTTTTCAATTTTGAATTTTAAGGATTAGGAATTTGTGAGTTCCAATCCCATTTTGTTTTCTGTGGTTTCTGGAATTGTGTTTTGTAGTAGGTTCCCTACATTGTTAATTGTTTTCAATGTGCATGTGGTTTTGTCTCATTTGTGGTCCTAATTGCAGCCTTTAAAAAACTATGTATTCATGGTCGCCATAGTTTTATTTTCACCTTTTTCCCTCATGGTCCTACTAGTGTTTCAGGTTTTAAAACCTGTTTTCTTGACTTTGCAGGCATGCCTGAATTATTTAGCCTTAAAATTAACCATGGTGGGAAGTGGTCTGAAAATGCTATGGGAGGGTTTAAGGCTTGGTTTGATTACGTAGACAAAGACTTCATGTCTTTTTTTTCGAGATTGATGAAATGATTAAGGAGTTAGGATATTATGGGTTTATATTGAATCACTATATGATTCTTGGGATGTCTTATATGGAGGGATTAATGCTTATTGAACAGTACCAAGATGTGAGTGAAATGTGCAAGTATGTTCCAGGGACTAGGGAAATAGAAATGTACCTAGAACATTTGAGTCCGAAGCAAGCTGCATTGAAACATAAGCTTTTGATTAATCTAGATGAGAGTGGCATATTAAAAAAAGATGTCATGATAGAAGATATTGAGGAATCAAGGGTGGCGATTTCGATTACAAAGGGAAGTAGAACAAAAATGAAGAAGGGTAGAGCAAAAGGGGGTGTTGATCACTTAGAAAAACGACTGTCTTTTGAATGACATAGCCTACAATGATGATGATGAACATGAGGCTGAAGCAACTGAGGGAGGACAAAGAAGCGGAGATGAGGCTGAAGATGGTCTTTATAATGCTGATAATGAAGGTGATGGGGATGATGAAAATGATGCAACTGAAGAAGGTCATGAAGCTGAAGAAGTTAATGAAGGGGCCGAAGTAGAAGTTAATGAAGGTAAAATTTTTAAAACATTTATTTTTGCAATTTTAATTTTAGTAGTCAATTATTTTTGCAAAGTTTAGGTTTTTAACAAATATGCATTGTTTGTGGCAGTAAATGCAAAGGATGACACTACAGATAATGAGTTTGTGGACAGTGACTACAATTTGGAAGATGATGATCATCGTGCAGTAGATGATACAGTTGTAAAAAATGTCATTAGAGATGCTGAAAGGGGTGAAGGGTTGGGAACCAACATCCAGAATAAGTTATTGATGCAAGGGATGTAGAAGACGTTCCCCTTGATGATGAGAGACAAGACTCAGATGGCATGCACTGTGTTGATGATTCTGGTTTAGAATGTGATGAGAAGATCATATACTCTAAGTTCAATAAAGAAGCCAACAGGTATGATCCAAAGTTTGAAAAGGGATTGAAGTTATAGATGCTGCACAGTTGAGAGAAGCAGTGTGGTCTCACTTCATTAAGCATGGTGCACTTTATATTGTGCTAAAAAGGAATGAGAAATGGAAGATTAGTGCAAGGTGTGAGAAAAACTATCCATGGAGATTGTATGCTTCTAGGATGTATAATGAAGATTCAATGCAAGTGAAAACCTATGTTGGGAAATATGAATGTTCGAGGATTTGGAGGGAAAATCCTAACTGCAAAGTGGCATGGCTTGTGAAGAGGTATGTGGACAAGTTCAGACTCAACCCAAGCATGCCCATCACTGCATTTATGGAGACAATGAAGGAGGAAATAATGGTTAAGATACATCTCAAGATAGCCTACAAAGTAAGAGCACAGTGTTTAAAAATCCTTGAAGGGATGAGTAACGTGGATCGGTACAAAAAGTTATGGGAGTACTATGATGAACTTAGGAGGACAAACCCGGGTAGTACAGTTCAAATGAAGGTGCTGCCCTATGATGATGCTCATATGATATTTCAAAGGATTTATATTTGTTTGGGGGTGTGCAAAAATGGATTTAAGAATAGATGTAGGCAGCTTGTAGGGTTGGATGATTGCCACTTGAAAGGAGTGTTCAAGGGCCAGTTATTGTCTGTAGTGGGAACGGATGAAAATAACCAAACTTAGGTTATTGCATATGCCATAGTAGAGGTTGAGAACAAAGACAATTGGGTTTGGTTTCTGGAACTGCTAGCTACTGACTTGGGAATTGTGAACCAGCGTACTTGGACTTTCATTTTTAACAAACAAAATGGTTTAATACCAACTTTTGAGAAGGTGCTACCTAATTGTAATCATCGATTCTGTGTTAGGCACTTATACACCAACTACAAGGCAGATAGGTTTAAAGGGAAATGGTTAAACAATGCTTTTGTGGAATGCTGCCAAGGTAACAACCATTGTTGATTTTAGAGATAGTATGGCTGAGGTAAATAGGTTGAATGTCGAAGCTTATAAATGGTTGGTGAAGAGACTGGCCTTGCATTAGAGTAGGTCACACTTTGAGACACACACTTAGTGTGACATTCTCTTAAACAACTACTGTGAGAGCTTCAATTCTTTTATCCTAAGATCTAGGGACAAGCCTATTATTACCATGCTGGAAACTGTAAGAGTTTTATTGATGAAGAATATATGGTTAAAAAGATATGCGATGAGGAAGGGTAAAAGAGTTATCTGCCCAAAAATCTAGAAGAAGTTGGAGGAGCATAAACTGAAAAGCTCACACATTATAACAACATGGTCTGGAGGATAAAAATTTGAAGTGGATGAAGGCAGAGGCAATATATTTGTGGTGGATACGAATGGGTGCACTTGCTCATGTAGAAGATGGGATTTGACAGGCTTTCCTTGCATACATGGTTGCTAGCTTTCCTTGCATTCATGGTTGCTAGGCCATCTATTATGCAAGGAAACAGACTGAGGAATTTGTTTCCTCTTGTTACAAGAAGGAAAAATACTTTGAAACTTACGAAAACTTGATTAAACTCGTTCAAGGCATGAAATTTTGGGAACCATCTGAAAACAAATGCATTATTCCTCCGACTTTTAAAAATGCAGTCTGGGAGACCAAAAAAGAGGAGACATAGGGAGGTTGATGAAAATGAATTCAAGTTAAGCAAGAAAGGGCAAAAAAGTGTGAAGTGTAGTGTTTGCAAGGCCTCAGGACACAACAAGGCCAAATGCCCAACCACTCATCCTTCTTCAGCTACTGGAAAATGAAGAAAAAGCAAGAAAAATAAGGTATAATTTTGATATTTTTTGATGATTTTTCATTTCTTAAGTGAATTTGTTATTTGTGAAGTGTAGTATCTGTCAGTGCTAATGCTATATGGGTTCATTACTTAGGCCTCAACATCGAAGGCATCACAACCCTCTCAGTCATCGCAGCCATGCACTCAGGAAGCTCCACAACGTTCATCTCAGCCAACTCAAGCCTCTCAAACTACTTCAAAGTCTACTGCAAGTGGTCAGAAAAGGAGGAGGAATGTTCCATGATGTTGCTTTAATGCTTTAGGTTGTTTAAGGGTTCATTTTGTTATAGTTGAATATGCCCTTATTTTTTTGGAAACAACTTTCCGATAGATCTTTAGTATTTTGGACAAATCTTTGGTGTTTTTGGAACTCTTATTTTGGTTTTTGGAAGAACACCTTGACTCATTAGTTGTTAAAGTTGTGGTCTTTTGATACTTTTGTGTGAATTGGAGGGTGTATATTGAACTTTATTGTGAATTGAAAGTTGTTAACGATTGAATTTTGTTGGTAGTTAGTAGTTTAAACAATGAATTTGCAGATTTGGAATAGAAATTTGCAGATTTGCAGATTTGGAACAGTTGGATAAATTCTTTGTTTCTAACACTCGCACCACGCCAATCATCCGATTAACAGAAACACCATTTGTGTGATCTCACACTATCTCGCGTTTTTTTCCTACCTCTTGAATTTGTTGCTGTATTAGTCATCCGATTAACAAAAACAATATTTGTCCCTATGTCGTTTTTTTTTTCCCTACCTCTCAAATTTGTTGCTTAATACAAATGTCCACACACAAAATTCACTTCCAATAGTTAGGCCATCTCTCACCGAAGGTTGGCTAGATGACTCGTTTTAGCCCTCTGGCCCTCCAAGATATTAATATTTTAATGAATAGTACATGACCATATTTGCCTCCATCTCCAATTGAGGCCAAAGGGCCATATGGCTCGTTTTAGCTCTGTCACAAAAAACCGTCTCCAACCGAGGGCCAAAAGGTCATAAGGTCAAACATAATTTATTATTTAAATTTAAAAACTACAACAACTTAAATTTAAAAACTACAAACAACTTAAATTTAAAAAACTACAACTTATGTTTAAAAACTACAACTTAAATTTAAAAACTACTACAACTTAAATTTATAGGGAAAAAAAATGAGAATTTGTTCATATTGTTTTTACAAATTTTGGCCCAAAAAAATTCAAATTCAAATCCAACGGCTAGTTAACATCAGCTAGCCATTGATAGCTGACGTCAGCTAGCCTTTAGATTTGAATATTTTTTGGCTATAAATAGGATGGATAGTGGGCTATAATTCACACACCTTTGAATTCAATCTATTTCATTTCAATCTCTTTCAATTCAAGTTTACAATGAATTCCAACTTTGGATCCTCTTAAAATTCCAATTGGGGGTCCTCATCCAATTCTAAATTGGAAGAAAAATGGGCATAGATGAGACGAGAATATGAGGAGTCTAATGAAGAAGATGAAGAATGGTGCAACACACAATATGTGGTAGCTATGGCTGCGGCCATGGTTTGTCAGCCAATTGAGGAACAACCTCAATGGGGTGACTCTGTTGCTGGTCACTCTTACAAACCACGAAATAGAGTAATGACGCATGCCAATTTGATAAACAACTACTTCAACTCCAACTCGATGTACACAAAAGATGATTTCAGACGTCGCTTTCGGATGAGGCATCATGTCTTTTTCATGATGTCTATCAGGTCAATCTATATTTTCAATAAAAGTTGGACAGAGCAAGCCACCCTGGTTTCTCACCTCATCAGAAGGTTACTGTTGCACTAAGAATGATGGCCTATGGCTCCCCAGCTGATTCGATGGATGAAACCCAAGGTATGTCTGAGTCTACATGCCTTGATACTTTTGCTGAATTCTGTAACGCAATTGTTCAACTTTACAAAAAGGAGTACCTCCGCGAGCCAAATCAAGAAGATCTAGATTGGCTCATTCGCAAAGCTGAAGACCGCGGGTTTCCGAGCATGATAAGGTCATTACAGTGCATGCATTGGAAATGGAAGAACTGTCCCACCGGATGACAATGAGGCTTTAGCAGAGGTCGAGAAAGTCAACTATTATGTTAGAGGCGGTTGCCTCGTATGACATATGGATCTAGCATGCTTTCTTTGGAGTCATTGGATCCCAAAATGACATTACAGTTCTTGGGCGTTCACCCCTCTTCAATAACTTGACGGAAGGTAAATTACCTCAACTTGACTACGATATCAACTATTGTTAGTACAATATGGGGTATTACTTGGCATATGACATCTACCCAAAATGGGTGACACTTGTCCAAGCAATTCCAAACCCTAAAAATGACGTCGAAAAATGTTTTACCTTACACCAAGAGGCATACCGAAAAGATTTTGAGAGAGTTTTTGGTGTTCTACAAGTACGGTGGAAGATCATTAAGGAACCGGCAAGAGGGTGGAATCGAGAAAATTTGGACTCTATCATGATGTCTTGCATCATATTACACAACATGATTATGGAGGATGAGCGAGATGGGTATATTGATGGAGAGTCTGATGACGACCAAAAGGATCCAAATATGTCAAAAAGGGCTTGTGCAAAAATATATGATGGGCCTAATTTGCCTTTCAATCAAAGAACTTGTAGTATCTCTATAAATGAGTACATGAGGCGTTATAAGATGATAAATTCCCGTGCCACAAACAAGTACCTACAACATAATCTTGTTGCACATCTTTGGGCCAAAAGAAGCATGGAGTAGACATTTAAGTTTTATGTTGTTAAATGTTTTTAAAAATGTTGTTTAAGTTTTATGTTGTTAAATGTTCTTTTATGTTGGTTAATGTTATTTAATGTTGTTTCATATTGTTTAATGTTGTTTCATGTTACTTAATTAAATTTAATGTTGTATAATGGCTTAGGAAGTTATAGGATTTTTTTTTATAAAATAGAAGTTATAGGAAAAAAATAGAATTTAAAAAAAATATATGAAATAGATTTTGTAAAATAGAAGTTATAGAAAAAAATACAATTTAAAAATAGAAGTTATAGGAAAAGAAATTTGTAAAAAAAAATAAAAAAAAAATAAAAATGCAAAAAATAAAAAATAAAAAATAACTGCTAGCTAATGTCAGCTAGCCGTTGTATTTAAATTGTTGATCTAGCATTCCTGTCGGATATAACCGACATGAATATATTATATTGATGTTGTTATATCCGACAGGAATACTCAAATTTCTGGACCAGCCGGTTGGCCATTTGGCCCTTGTTTATCCAGTGGGGCCCATGAGCTCTTTGGCCTAACCCTCGTTTGGAGACAATTTTTGAGCGTTGTTCGGCCATCTGGCCCCTCTGGACCATTCGGTTGGAGATGATCTTACACAATAAGTTTGCGGGAGGGTGTTCCCAAAAGAAAAAATGTAGTTTCTTTTCTAAATGTTAAAAATAGAAGAGGGCTTTTGGTACTTTGCTGAGTGTTTGGCTGCCAACATAAGTGCTTTTAGGATCAGAATATCATAATTACAAGACATTCCAAGGTCCTTAATTCTTTATCGATTAAACATAAGTAAAATTCCACAAACGTGAAAAATGTAGGATAATGGAGATCAAAATTTCTCTTGTTTTTGTGGAAAAAGAAAAGAAACAACTTGATTGACTATTGAGACGACAATGGGCCCCGCAACCAATATTTGTTTAAGAACTTAATACTTTTCAAAGACGGGTGATGGCTCGTGGCAATGCTATGCTATTGACTTGTCCATTCTTGAATTAATTTTCTTCTTTTTTTTCCCATATGTTTTTTTAGGGCTAATTTGTCAGATTTAAAAAGATTTTCAAAATTTAATTTTTTTCGCATTACATCTTGAAGTTTTGAAATTGTATCAGTTTACAATTTTTGTCCTTTTGAATATATAATACTCCATTAAATTATTGAGTTTTGTTTTTGTTTTTATGTTTTTGTATGGGGTGCAATTTTGGCTTATATGGGGCTAACTAAGATCTTACACTTAATATGTCATTAGTTTTTCTTTAGCTGGAAACTTTAATGAAAAACTTCCGGTACTGTTCATTTTAATGAAAAATCACATTTTTACACTAAAAAGTTAATCCTGGTACTATTCACTTTATCCTTTATTTTGTTCTTATAGTTAAAACTCAAAGTTTTCAAACTCTTTTCATTAGTTTTCCTTTAGTTTAATGAAGAATCAAACAATCAACTTGACCAAAGACAAAATTGTTACATTTTAACATCTTATGGTACAAAATGAGAAAATTAAAACTTTGTAGCCCATTTTGATGGTCACCCTAAACTTCAAGAGAGTGAAATGTAGTTAGTTCTACTTTTTATTGTTTAATGAGCTAACAATATTTACAGCCTCTAAATTTGAGGTGATGAGGTTTTAATTTTCTCACATACAGTGATCATGTGTTCAAAGAATACAAAAAATAAAATTTCATGATCCATTTTAAAAACCATCCTAAATCTCAAGGTGTGTGAGACAATTCTCACGCATCATTTTTAGCTTCTTACACACTTTTATTTATTTATTTATAGTCATCGGATTGAATTAATCAAACGCAAAAAAACTTAATAAGTGTGTGAGAGAAGCTGAAAAGGATGAATCACTACAGGATGACTCATTGGTTGAGGACGAATTACAGGCCCATATTTCACATGACACGTCTTATATTAGATTCCTAGTACTGGTGAATCACAGAATGATGGGCGAGGGAGACTGAAATGCCTTTTTGGCCCCTGAAATAGTAGATTGCCATGACAAAGTTACCATTTTTTTTTTTAATTTTTAGGAAAAAAGAATATAAAAGGAAAACTAATGAAAATGATTTGAAAACTTTGAATTTTAAGATAATGACAAAATAAAGCATAAAGTGAATAGTACTAAGATTGATTTTTTAATATAAAAATGTTGTTTTTTATTAAACTGAATAATACAGTAAGTTTTTCGTTAAAATTTTCAAAAATAAAAAGTTGAAAAGGATGTCGTTTAAACTTCAATTTTGATTATAGTTTCTATGGGTCCACAGTTTTGATGCCACTTCAGTCAACGATTGCTGAAGATGCCTTGCTGAGCTGAATGTGAAAACTCCAAAAGGATCAAAGCAAAGACCCAGAAAGAAAAGATGGTTTCTTTTTTTAATTTTCCCACTTTCTCTTTTGCTGCTATAAAAATTTACCTCAGAAATTAAAGGAACGGGTCTTTTTGTTTTTGTTTTTGGTTTTTTTTTATTTTCTTTTCAATCAGGCCCTTCAAAGAAAGGGTCAACACTGGGGCAAAGAGGGAGTCTTCAGTCTCCCCACAAGCTTAAAAGACAACTTATTTCTCAGATTACAACTTTCCAAATTACCCAAAAGAGAAAAAAAGAGAAAGAAAATCCCTTTTATTCCTCTACTTTTGAAATATTCTCTGTATTTTTGACAGGGTTTCTGTGGTGAACTGATTGCCAATTTTCCCGGGAAAATTGGGTGCATATCCCTGGAAAATTGTGGGGAGAAGAGTGATGGTGCTGTGAGTTTTTGGTGGGCATGAGCTTTTTCTCAGGTATGTCTCTTGAACCTTATCTTCTTCAATCAGTGAAGACTTTTGTGCTGACTAAATGGGGTCTTTGGAATTCTGGGTTATTTGCATATTTGATGTTTAATGGGGTCCTTCTGGATTGCAATTTGAGCCCAAAATTGAAGAAAGAAGGTGGAAAATGAAGCATTATTAATTTCAGATTTTTGAATTAGGACTACAACTTACTAGTATTTGTGCTTTCTAATTCTCTGTGTTGCAAATGCATGATATTTGTTGCTAGGGTCTGCAAGAAGTAATTGTTTTTGGGTTCGCTAATCGTTTCTTCTGGGATTTAGTGTCTAGGATAGTTCTGTTAATTCGGTTGTTGAGAGAAGTAGGAAAAGAAGAACTAGTTTTGGTAAATTACAAATTTTTCTTGATTTTTTTAATGAAACAGGGGACCTAGACTTCATTAGAGCCAATACAGATTTATGAACGAGCTTGCTCTCCGTCATTTAATTGTTGATAAACTAACCAGAACGACCTTTCTTTTGTTCACTGAGGAAATGGAAGGGATAGTGAAGAAACTGGCAGTTCTAGTGTGACTTCATGTTGTTTTGATTTCTGAAAAATGGGTAATTGAAGACTAGTGAGTAGATTCGGGACATTGAGCAGGAGTGGAACCCTCAATGTGTCGAATTAAAGAGAATACAAGACTTAATTCTCAGCAACCAAACAGAAAATTTATAAGCAGTTTTCAGTTTTGTGTGATTTTTATTTGGTGCTCTTAATTCTGAGTTGGTCCATATGTGTGTGAGGGAATACATTCAAGTGTAATCATTCTAGTGAAGCATTACTAAAACTAAAAAAATACTGTGATATTTCAGATTGAAAGGTATATAGAGAAAAATGGAAGGTACAGCAGGCTTGAAAACTATTTCGGATCAGAAGCTCGAGGTTGTTGTCCTGCAAGGCTTCTGCTTTTTTTGTCAGTTGTGCAATCAAATGGAAAATGAGGATCTCACTTCCTAGTGTTAGTGAGTTTCAAAATGTTGGCAGTAGACTTGGTTTCAAATGCTGCATCTGCTCCGGCTTCAGAAATCATTTCTCAAATAGTGGAGGCCATTTTCGAAATTTCAGCTGCTGCCAGGGACGTCCTTGTTAAGAAGGATACATTTAAAGAGCTTTCAACTTATCTGGAAGGGATAGTCCCCATCTTAAAAGAGTTGAACAAGAAAGCTGTTCTTCATTCTGAGAGCTTAAACAATGTTATGGCCATTCTTAACCGAGAAATCAGAGGTGCAAAGCAACTGACACTTGAGTGCAGGAAGAGAAACAAAGTGTATCTCTTAATGCATTGCCGAACAATAGTTAAGCGCCTAGGAGACATTATGAAAGAGATCAGTAGGGCTTTAGGTCTTCTTCCCCTGAGTTCACTAGATCTTTCATCTGGCATAATTGAAGAAATTGAAAAGCTTTGTGATAATATGCAGCGAGCTGAGTTCAGGGCAGCAATATCAGAAGAAGAGATTTTGGACAAAATCGAGTCTGGAATCCAGGAGAGAAACGTTGATCGTTCTTATGCAAATAATTTGGTGGTTCTCATAGCAGGGGCAATCGGAATCTCAACTGAAAGGTCAGTGTTAAAGAAGGAATTAGAGGAATTCAGGAATGAGATAGAAAATGCTCGGCTGAGGAAAGACCAGGCTGAAGCTATACAGATGGAACAGATAATTGCTTTATTAGAAAGGGCTGATGCGGCTTCATCTTCTAAGGAGAAAGAAATAAAATATATGATTAAGCGGAATTCTTTAGGGGCTCAACCATTGGAACCACTTCAATCATTTTATTGTCCAATCACCAGGGATGTTATGATGGACCCTGTGGAAACTTCTTCCGGACAGACATTTGAGAGAAGTGCTATAGAGAAGTGGTTTGCTGATGGGAACAAATTGTGCCCCCTGACCATGACTTCTTTGGACACATCAATTTTGCGGCCCAATAAAACTCTCCGACAATCCATAGAAGAATGGAAGGATAGAAATTCAATGATTATGATTGGTTCCTTGAAATCAAAACTCCAATCTGAAGAAGAAGAAGAAGTGCTTCATTGCCTGGGTGATTTACTAGATCTCTGTAAAGAAAGAGAATTGCATAAGGAATGGATCATACTGGAGAACTACATACCTATTCTCATTCAACTTCTTGGTGTTAAAACTCCCGAGATAAGGAACAATGCTCTTCTCGTCCTTTGCATTTTGGTGAAGGATGGTGATGATGCGAAGGTAATACTTTGTTTACTCTAACTACATCATGTGCTCTTTTCTCTCTCTCTCTCTCTCTCTCTCTCTCCCTCTCTCTCCCTCTCTCTTTCTGCTGTGATATTATTTTGATGAACAATGTTCTTCATTTTCCTACACATTTGATTTTCTTAAATCCTTCCTGTATGGCTAACCTTAAAAATAATGATGCAGGAAAGAATTGCCATAGTTGATAATGGCATTGAATCTATTGTTCGTTCACTTGGGCGCCGTGTTGAGGAAAGGAAGTTAGCTGTTGCATTACTTTTGGAGTTATCAAAAAGTAATTTGATAAGAGAATACATTGGGAAGGTTCAAGGTTGCATACTCCTATTAGTTACCATGTCCAACAGTGATGATAATCGGGCTGCCAGAGATGCACAAGAGCTACTGGAGAATCTGTCATTCTCTGATGAGAATGTTATACAGATGGCGAAGGCAAACTATTTTAAACATTTGCTGCAGCGTCTCACTACAGGTTCTCTTATATTCTTTCATCTTGATTTCTCATAAATGCCTTATACAGGACCTTTTCTTTGTTTTCTGGTTGTACACTCATACAGATTGTAAATTACCAAAATACATATTTTGACGCTAAAGTTGCAACCTTTAGTCAACCTAGAATTGCGAGTTTCAATTTTCAATTTCTTTTTTTTATTTTTTTATTTTTATTTTTTTTTTATAAATTTTTTGCTGCCTTTAGTAATATATCTAACTGGTACCTTCTATTTTTCATATTGTTTGTAGTCAAAAGTTTAGCAAGTTAAATTTTATCAGTGCAATTTATTCTTCAGCGATCTGATTTTTCACCAAATCCAATTGAATTCCATTAGTTTACATTTTTGCATACTTGATATGATTATGTAAAATTCAATTTATACATTAATATGTCTTTTAGTTTAGTTTATGAAAGCTTAAACGTGTTCTATCTATTGTATGTTTATACTTAAGATAGCCTTAGGTATGCAATGGATTTTCAGTTTGTATTTGGCACATTTTATGTGTCTTAGGGGTTCATCTTATGAGTAAAGAAAGTTATTTGCTATAACTTTTGTCATTTCTTTTATTCAGGACCGGAGGATGTTAAAATAGTCATGGCATCAAATTTGGCGGAGATGGAGTTGACCGACCACAATAAAGAATCTTTGGTTGAAGGAGGAGTAATGAGTCCGCTTCTTTACATGGTCTCACATGGTGACATTCCAATTCAAATGGTGGCTGTTAGAGCTCTTAGAAACCTCTCAAGCTTACCTAAAAATGGTCTACAGATGATTCGAGAAGGTGCAGAACGCCCATTACTTGACCTTCTTTTTTTAAATCTTAGTCCGTCATTGTCAAGTTTGCGTGAATATACAGCAGCCACAATTATGCAACTCTCCATGTCAATGGCGTCTCAAGAATCCAACCAGACACCCATTCCATTTTTGGAATCAGATGAAGATATTGTCAAGCTTTTCTCTTTGATTAGCTTGATGGGGCCTAATGTACAGCAAAGCATCATTCGGACCTTCCAAACCTTATGTCAATCCCCCTCTGCTACAAGTATCAAGAGCAAGTTGATGCAGGTGTGCATCTTATTTTACAAGAGATTTTAATTTCAATAAAAATTGCTTTCCTGCACGCACAAATCTACTAGTAGAATATTAACGGGATTTAGAGGTTTGAATATAAATGTGCCTAGTCTCATAAGCACTTGGGAGGTAGGCGAAGGTTCAAAGGGATATCAACTGAAATTATATGAAGTGAAGCTTCAACTGACAGGCCTTTTTCTTTCCTTCTAAGAAAATGCAATGGGATTTATCATGTTTTGCAATTAGTAGTCATCATCACTCAACTTTCCTCCATTACCCTCTTGCGCTAACAACTGGGGTAGTGTATGCACAATTTAGATTTGTGATGCACATCCAAATTCCCATACATATAATATATGCAAAAAGAAAAAGAAATTAATTGAGCTTTACTAAGAGAAGGTTGTATTTATAGAATTTATTGATATGTTTTGAGTTATTGTCTCCTTTATGGGTATACCATGTTCTTCTGGGTTGATTGAAATGTGAAATTAGGAAATGTTAAATCAGAATATTCCCAGTTCTTTTTCTACAATTTATCTGATAACCTGACATAATAACATCTTTACCACATGCTAATTTGATTTAATCTGCTTCTGCTGGACAAGCATTGTATAAGCTTTCACTGATTTTGTTACTTTTACAGTCCTCGGTTTTACAAGTATTGGTTCAGTTGTGCGAGAATGATGACCTAAACCTACGAGCAAATGCTGTAAAGCTGTTCTCTTGCTTAGTAGAACGCGGCAGTGAAGTCACCACTATCCTGGAGCATGTGAATCAGAAGTGCATTGAGACTATACTCAAGATCATCAAAACTTCTGATGACGAAGAAGAGATTGCTTCTGCAATGGGCATTATCTCTAACATTCCGGAAAACCCCGAGATCACACAGTGGCTTATGGATGATGGGGCACTACCTGTCATACTCAATTTTCTTCAGAATGGTTCCCATAGAAATCAGTTGATAGAGAATGCGGTCGGAGCCATTTGTCGTTTCACTGCTCCAACAAACTTGGAATGGCAAAAGAGTGCAGCTGAAGCTGGCATTATCCCGTTGTTCGTACGTTTGCTGGAGTCTGGAACCTCATTGACAAAGGAACGTGCGGCCATATCTCTTTCTCTATTTTCAAAGAGTTCACCACGGTTGAGCAGGTCTTCACCTAACCGCAAAGGATTCTGCTGCTTCTCGGCCCCACCAGAAACCAGATGCCCTGTTCATGGTGGAATCTGTGGCATTGTTTCATCATTTTGCCTTGTGGAGGCTGGTGCAGTGGGCCCACTGGTTAGAATTCTTGGGGAACCTGATCCCAGAGCTTGTGAGGCCTCTTTAGATGCGCTATTAACTTTAATCGAAGGTGAGAGACTGCAGATGGGTAGTAAGGTGCTCACAGATGCGAATGCCATCCCACCTATAATAAAATTTCTTGTTCAACCATACCCTAGTCTGCAAGAGAAGGCCTTACATGCTCTAGAAAGAATGTTCCGGCTGCTGGAGTTTAAACAGAAGTTTGGAGGCTCCGCTCAGATGCCTCTTGTTGATTTAACTCAGCGTGGAAGCGGTAGTGTAAAATCTATGGCAGCCAGAATACTTGCTCACTTGAACGTGCTTCACGATCAGTCTTCTTATTTCTGAAGGAGCTTCAAATATTCGGCTACGTGTCATTGATTTGAAGGTCAAGCATAAACTCACCCCTGTGCTCAAACTTGGCAACGATTATCAAACATGGGGACTGGTCATGTAAAGTAAGAGAGAGCCCTTCATAGTTTTATAAGAAGGCGAAGCATGGTTCTCTGTCCAGCATGCCCATCATCTGGTTTTGGCGACATGGGATCGGAGGGACGCAGTTGAATTTGTCTTGACACGGAGTAGCAGCTTCGAGACTGAAACTGACAATTTAAATTGTGCTGCTCTTACATAGAAATGAGGTGTCGCAGGAACTTGGTTTCCACTTGTATATTTGAAGCTTGATTTGTACGTTGGTGTAAGGAGAAGAGATCATTGCAAGCCACCAGTGGTAGCCTGGTAAGGTAAGCTGAGATCATTTTTCGACGAAAATTAAATTCTTTTTCTACTATAGGATGTGGATTCTTTGTGTATACATAGGAAACGTTCAAAAAATTCACGATAAATTTTTCGAGTAAGTTGTGTCGTTTATATCCTTTCATATGAATCATATTCTCTTTTAATTCAATCTTCAAGTTCTATTTTCATTAAGCAATGAATTTGTTTTCCTACTGATCATAACCTTAGATTGTATCATGCTGTCTTCTCTTTCTTTCATCTCAATTTACTCCTCCTCCCTATTAACTTAAGAACCTCATCGATGAGTATCACCGGCGCGGATATCAAATTTATGAGGAGCCACTCGTTCGGACTCAATGGAACAACACCGAACACGTCTGCGAGAAACGGATGTAGAGGACGAGGCAGTGAAGCCCAAATGAGACCGACATGGCAACCAGAAGCAGCTCCGAGTTGGTTTCTTCATTATATGAATCTCAGCTGGGTTAAAACCGAGAGCTGTTGCGTCCATCGGTATCCAGATTTACTCACAGAAGCTGCACGGGTATCATGCATTCGGGTGTTTCCTAACGCAGCAGTCAAGTTATGGATATGACCTCTCCGACATTTGAAGATATCATGTACCCGCAAATGGACGGTGAAAGAGAGAGGATGATGAACAAAGAGATGTACCGGATAAAAGCTTTCATGATAGTGTAAACAGCCCGGCCTTCTGCAACAGCGGAAGCAATAGTACTGAAATTATCATCTGCCAAAACCATATCCGAAGCTTCTTCCGCAACCTGAGGTATGAAGCATGAAGGCTTAGAAGTCATACCGCAAGGCCCAAAGTTGATAGCGGCACCGATGTTTCGTGTGGGCAACAATGGTTGCCCCGTGCGCAGGCCCGCTTCGTTTTGCATGCCTTTTTTTTTTTTTTTTGGGTGACGAGCTCCCCTCATTTTGCATGCACAGAACATGCCACATTTTGCATGCCAGAAGCCTGGCTCGTTTTTTATACCTTGTTTTTTGTGCGCTGAGCCAGCCTCGTCTTGTGGGCCTAATTTTTCGTGCATTGAGATCGTCTCATTTTTGTGAGCAGAGCCTGCCTCATTTTCAGTGCGCTCGGATTTGCCTCGTTTTGAATGCGTTGAGTTCACCTTATATTGCACATCGCATTTTTCGTGCATCGAGCTCGCCCCGCTTTATGTGCACTGAGCTCTTGTTTTACGTGCACAGAGCCAGTCTCGTTTTTCAAGCACATGAGTTCGCCTCATTTTGTTTGTGTGGAGTTCGTCTCGTTTTGCATGTCGTTTTTTGTGCACCGAGCCAGCCTCATTTTGTGCACCTAAAGCTAGTCTCATTTTTTGTGAGCGGAGTTTGCCTCGTTTTATGTGCGTCCTAGTTTACCTTATTCTAAGTGCACGGAGACTGCCTCGTTTTGCGTGCACAAAGATTGCATCTTTTTGCACTCACTAAGTAGGATGTTAGAGAAATATTTTACATGGGAGTCAACGAAAATGTTGCAAGATCTTTGGATGTGATCTTAATGTTTATTAGGTCCCTAAGCCAGTTTTTTTATTGATTTTTAAAATTGAAAATAGAAGAATAATAAAAACTAGTAGTGGGGCCCAAAGAGATTTGTAGGTTTCGAAAATTTTGGGAATGTCCTAAATTAATTTTATTAAAAGTGTGGAGCAACTAGAATGACTCAAATTTTCGATTATATTGAATCTTGTAACAATCCTTAAAATTCATTAGGAAACATGGATTATAACTCACAGTTGTTGTGAAAAAAAAATTTCAACTTTTAGTTTTAGGAAATATTTTGCATATGAGTTAACGAAAATGTTGCAAGACCTTTGGATGTAAGCCTATTGTTTATTATGTCACATAAGTATTTTCTATTGATTTTTAAAGTTGAGCAAATAGAAAATTAATATAAACTAATAGTGAGGCCCCCAAAGAGATTTGTAGGTGTTGAAAATTTTTGGAATGTCCAAAATTAATTTTACGAAACATATGGTGTGATCAGAATGACTCAGATTTTGACTTATAATGAATCTTGTAAAAGTTCTCAAAACCGATTAGAAAACGTGGGAATTAAAGAAAATTCTGCATGACATTTGGATGTGATTTTATCATTTATTAGGTCCCAAAACTATTTTCCATTGATTTTCAAAAGTAGAAAAATAGAAAAAAATAATGAAAACTAATAATAGGGCCCCCCCAAGAGATTTGCAGCTGCCTAAAATATTGGGAATGTCCTAAATTAATTTTAGGAACCATGTGGTGCAAGTAGAGTGACTCTAACCTTTTGCTTATGACAAATGTTGTAAAAGTTCTCAAAATTATGTGAAAAAAATTGAAATTTTTAGCTTTAGGAAATATTTTGTGTTGAAATTAAGGAAAATATTGCAAGACCTTTGGACGTGATCTTACTGTTTATTAAGTTCCGAAGTAGTGATAAAAAATATTCTGATAATTATCTAGAATCTTATGGAATCGAGTTGATGAAAATGAAAATCATTCTCAATGTAAATTTAACATATCCAAGTAATCACGAGTATTCTTCTTTAAAAAAAAAAAGAAAAAAAAAAAGGTGATTTCGCGTATTTACTCATGAATACAAAATCCTGTGTTTGATTTTCACATACTCCAATATTTATTTCTCTTTTATGATTTATATACGGTTTATAGCCGATTGAGTTTGTCCAGCATATCAATTTTACAAGTCAAAAGGCTAACGTTTGGGATAGGAGTCCAAAGGGTAGAGTGACTGCTGAACCACCAAAAGTAATTTGTGTGGCATTTGCACTAAAAAATTTCGTGTAACCAGAGACGTCACATGACAAATATCTATAGAACCGTTGGTGCAACAAACGACAAACATACATTGAACTGGAGACGCCATTGGAACTGTGTATTAGTTGCATAAGAGAATCTCTCCATTAGCACATGGTGGAAGAACTGCTCAGAATGCAACGAAGCTTCCTCTGAGTGACCGAGTCATGTCCCTCAAATGGGGGGACCGATACCGTTTTCGTGATAGAAAACCAAATCAAGTGTTTTAACTCATACGCATAGCATTTCGACTTTCCAAAAACTGAACTAAATATTAACCAAATCCAAACATTTCTCCATACGAGGGGGTAAATTACAGATGCGATAAGAGTCGAGACAATGTGTTCCAGCAGAAACCTAGCCCATTCTTAGTTATTTCCAACCCTAGAGAGCACAACTTGAACACGATAACGACAGCAAATTTTGGAATCCAAATACCTATCATAACCATAAACTAAGTACTATCACAATACGTTTCATCCTCTACAAATGTACCTAAAAGCTATATAGCAAAACCACCGAAGATAACGATGAGCTGACTACTGCATCAGATGACTTCAAGTTCTTGATCTTCGGATAGGCGAGCGACTGCAAACAGTAAATGATAAATCACAAACTGAAATGGTATAACATCAACCTCACAAGCAATTGAAATCTCTATATATAGTAAAATGAACAGCGTAGTATAAAAACATACCTGCGGTATCTGCCGTATTCAGGACTCTCATTCCTTCCATATTCAGGACTCCTGCGCCTGTCATACACTGGACCGTTGTACCTGTCATAAACTGGGCTGCGGGGACGACCGTAATCAGGACTGGGGCGCCTGCGATAACCAGGACTTGGTGATCTCCCATAAGGACTATCACCACGCCTACCATAAGTGCCTCTTCTAGGAGGGCTATCGCGATAGCGATCACCTCTCTCGACATCACCTCTCTCACTATCATCTCTCAGGGCGTACTCCACAGAGACAACCCTGTCTAGGATCTTGCTGCAAGAATGATATAATTTTGCCTCACTTTCTCAGCATTTTAGTCAAAAGAGTTAACCAAGTAAGAAAACAAACATATTACTAACCTCAAATGTGTAGCCTGAAGAGCTTTGGTAGCTTCTTCCTGTGTGTCAAACTGCACAAATGCAAAGTTCCGACGAATTCTGACATGAAGCACCTTCCCATAAGGCTCAAAGTGTCTTTCAATATCACGAACCTTGGTGTGAACAGGATCAAAGTTGATAACAAACAAAGTTTTAGTGGGCCTTTGGTTTGCCAGTGATTTAGACCCATCATGATGGCGACCACGTTCACCCTAATAATTAAATTGTTAATATGTTAAAGATGTTAAGAACTTAAGAGTCAAGACCCAGAATATATACTACAAAAACTAAAATGCATACGACAGAAAAAAAAAATCTACAATGAGAGTTTCTAAACAGAAAAGCTATCGTACCTTAGCCCATTCCACAGACAGCCTGCGCCTGTCATAACCAAATGGCCTATTATCAAGGTGATGGATAGCTTCTTCAGCATCCCGCTCATCCTCAAAATAGACGAAGGCAAAACCTGAAACAGAGGAAAAAATCAGAAACAGAAAAGAACAAAGGAAGCATCTGCATATAACCTTTCCCCTGCCATACATCAGCCTCGTATATATTTCCCCTGCCACAAACTAAAGTAAATACAACAACACCTGCATTTACGTGAGGGGCTTGATGAACATAAGACGGTAGAGGCGTTGCATGAAGAACTAAATCATGATGGTAGCATACTAAAGGTTTTAATCCAAAGTTTCAAGTCTGAATCATTGGTAAGCATGTTTCGCCATTCAGAGAGCACAAGTTCAGTAATGGAAGGCATGGCATGACAGAATCAAAGATCCCCTATTATCATTTGGAGAGCACGAGTGCAGTAATGGAAGGCATGGCATGCAGAATCAAAGATCCCCTATTATCAGTGATTGAAGGCATGGCCAGATTTCATTTAATCCCCTATGAACAGTGGTGGACTTGTGGTAGGCATGGCAAAATAAATGATCCGACAATGACAATTCTTGTGAAATGGCAACGTTATGCGATGAAGTGGGTGAGTAACGGATGATCGAGTGAAGAAAATGCAGAATGTTGCTATCTGTGAATGGAGTGTAGAGAAGCAGGCAACCAGGACGGTTTCCTTAATTAAAAATTTGGCATGATGTTGGCTAGCCCAGATAGAAGCTCAGATCAATTTCCATTAGTAGACAAGTTCCTGCGCCAAAAGAAACACTTAAAAACCTGGTCCAAAGAAATTGCAAACTTGCGGCTGCCACTTCCTTTCCTCCAGGAAAAGAGGCAAAGTAGTCACACATCCATAACCAACAAGCTCGAGTTTTACACCAAACTCGTTCTTTATCAAAACAAATGATTAAATATACACATGCCAGGTAGATGGAGCACTGGCAACTAAACTTAGCCTTAACCCCCGAAACCAACAGACACAGCTGAACATTCTAGGTGCTGATTCTATGAATCAGAGAAAGAAAAAAAGGGTAAATAAAACAACGAAAGGTGGCAAGCAAATGCAGGATCAAATTAAACCAAACACACCCGTAAAACCACGACACGAGAAGTTCATTTCGTAAATTTTCATTCACATATCAGACTCTTCAATGGTCCACAACCAGCAGACACACAATCCTAGACAACAAAATCACGAACTCGACAAATACCAAGATAATCATCTGAGTTATAGTGGGCAATTAAACAAATCAACCCCAACAAAAAAGATTGAAGCTTTGACATAAATCCTTAAATTCTGCATTAAAAACAAATCAAAACCAATCAATGATGTCGTACCAGACTTCATATCGACCCGCTCGATCCTCCCGTATTTAGAGAACAACCGATCCAGCTCCGATTGCCGAGTTTCGTACTCGAAGTTGCCGACGAAAACTGGCCTCATTGTTGCTATTTTCCTGCCAATTGCACCCCAAAAAAAAAAAAAAAACCCTGAAAATTTCCCAAATAATACAGGTACTGATAAGAATATGGAACAGTTATTTGCTGATTAAGAAAAACTAAGGAACAATTAGGTTAAATTTTAGAGAAGCAAAATACCTGACAAGGCGAAAACAAAGAGAAGCAAACCCTAGAAATTGCAGAGGAAATATTGGGGAAAGAGAGGGTAAGGTTGGGCCCTTTATACTCCTATCTGGCTGAGGACCAGGCGTTTACTCTCTACGGACCGTCCGATTGTCCGACTTTTGTGATATGTTAATTGGGCTGCTGGTTTATCAAAAAATAATAATAATACTTTGGCTACCGGAGTTTTATTTGCGGGCCTGCTGAGGTTTGATTTGGGCTACTAACCAAATAAATAATGTTATTAAATTTAAACTTCAGAGGGTCTTAGCGTTATTTTTTAAACGTGAGTGAGTTTTGTAAAAACACGATTTAGTATAGGACTCAATCCTATTGAACTCAAGTTTTTGTATTTACTAGGTGAGTTTAATTCCTATATTATAGAGAGCATCACCAATAATGTTAGCTTTGTATGTTTAAATACCGTTGCTTAACAAAAATAACAAAGTGTTGGTTTTTCACTTCCATTATGCTCCATTCAGTTCAAAATTTACTTCTTTGTCTTGGTCTTTTTTTTTTTCTTTCTATACAAGCGAAATTGGACGAGGGGAATTGAGCTCGGGACTTGAGTGCGGGATGAATGTTCTTGATTAACAGAGCTACGAATAACTTCCAAGTCTTTTCGTTGTTGGGTTTTGTATATAATTTAATTTTATGGCCCAAGTTCACATTTTTAGTTCAAGTATGCTTCACAGAATTTAATTTTTTTCTATCTTTTTTGTTGTTTTGTGTTGTGAGTTTTGGAGATAATTGGCAGATGTTACAGCGGTGTTTGTAAGTTTTTAACTGCTTTGGTCTTGTTTTTTCTCCTTCTTTTTAATGTTAACTAGTGTCGTTAATTTACTCCAGTTTCAGTTTCTATTCCCTTGATCTGTTTGCAGACCTCTCTCTCTCTCTCTCTCTCTCTAAACTACTCCTCTGTGGTAATTCAGTTACTGGTCAAGAGAAATTGGCTAAAATGATCTGAAATTAAGTTTCAGTCTTTTTTAACTGATCGAAATTATATAGTGACAACATATTAATTGACAAAGTGATCAAATATCGATAACATATTAAAAATCATATCATTTCAGCAATCGAGATTTGAAAAAAAAAATCATTTTGACCAATTTTTTCATAACAAGAGCCACTGCAATTATTCTACAACATCAAGGTTGATCAGATGACTTGTTGAATTCTTGATCAAGTGCTTTTTCAAGCCATGTCTCAGCATCTTCCATAATCCCAGGACTAAGCCTCACCATCAGTATACAAAACTCATTCTCACTGAGCGCACCATCTCCATCAAGATCTCCTTCCCTAACCATACCTTCAGCATCCTCCTTGCTCATCCCCTCCATCCCGAGAAGCGCCGAATTCTTCTTCAGGCTCTCCGACGTGATCAAACCCCGCTCAGGGTCCGCCAGAAGCCGGAAACCTCCACATAGTTCGGACACGAAAGTCTCCACGTCCAGCTTCTCCGCCATGACTGGCAACAAGTCTTGGTATTCAGTTGCTGCTGTGGACTTCCTTGTGGAGGTGCCATTGTTTTCCATGGTTTGTATTTCTAATGTGGTTATAGCTAGTGGAAAATGTGATGCAACAACAAATAGCAGTAGGACTTTGTAGAACCGTGAAGATTGAAAGCAGGCTTAAGGCCTTTTATAAGCAATGGAAAGTCTCTTTGCTTTTTCCGTAGCAGTTAAAATCAACATAATCATTTGTGTGTGGAATTTAGTGATATGGCAGATTCCTAGGCTATGAGTTCATCCCCTATTAATAAAAATCGGAAGAAAAACAAATTCTCAGGTGTAATTGTAACACTATCATATGATGTTGCTAATTCACCTGTTATAATTTAGACGATAAGTATATCATATTTTAAAATATTAAAGGACTGTCAGTCTGTAACACCACACGATAATGTAACAATCACACAGAAGAACGTATGCAACCTATGATGTTGACAGTAGATCGATTCAACAAGGAACAAGACATGTGAACGGCCTAAAACTATTTGAAATTCCGAAGTCAACAGTGGTGCAACATCTTGGTATCCGTTGCAATCATCTCATCTTGATTTCTATTTTTTAATTTTTTTTGAGGTTTGTATTTATTTTATTCGAATTTTCTAGGAAGGTTCTTTGTGGTGGGGGAAGCGGGGACTTTTGTAGCTAAAACCAAATCTTCAAAAATGATAGAGCTTAAATTGTCCTTGATCTTTGGCTTGCTTCTATGATTGGCTTGCTTCTATGAAGCTTCCTTTACTCTCTTGTAAATTTGATTTGTTTTGGATTCTTCTACTTTGTTTGATCTATCAATAAGAAATATCTGCCGTCCGATTATTTATTTCTTTTGATCTTCTCACTAGTAAGTCAATAGAGAGAATAAAGGGTACCCGACCTTAGAGCATTAATCACAACCCCATAGCTGTAGGTCGGTAAAAGTGACAAACGTGGAACGGTAGGAGATGAACAAGTTTTTTTTAGACGGAAGCAAAGTGCGGAAGTCGAACTCTAAATATGAATGTAAAATATAAAGTGTTCAACCATTATGAGCCTTGTTATTATATGTATTTTTTTAGGTTTTGATGAAAATAAAGCCGAACCATGCATAAGCTTGAGCTTGTGTTAACGAATGAGTTGAGCAAAGTAAATCAAAAGCTCATATTTAGGTTACAAACAAGCCGGTCGAGTTGAAAAAATTGTTCGACCCGAGCTTGAGCTTACGGTTACGAGTTTTTGTCGAGGTTGAGCATGAATAATTTTATTTGAGCTAAGTTTCAGCATCGTGGTAATCCGTTTGGCTTTACTCATTTACATCCTTACTAAAACCAAAATCATTATAAGTTGTATTCACTTTCAAGATTTTGTTTTCATTCATTCTTTTTATTTCTTTTTCCCTTTCCCACCACCATTTTCTTCCCCATTTCACTCCATAAACGTTTTCCATATCTCAAATATAAAAATGAAAATTAAACTAAAAATAAAATGACTAACAAACAAACTCTGACATTAATAAAGATGTTCATAATAAAGAAAGAATTGATTACTTGATTAGAAGACATTCCAATAGACAAACTACTAAGTTAATAGACATTTTTAATTCAACGTCAATCCATAAGTAACATAACCATCTCCTTTAATTTCATACACATAAAGGGAGGGGGAAAGTTAATAAGAATGGACAAAGGCTAAGTCACCATCTTCTCGTCCCCATCAAGAACCAATGTACCTAGCGCCACCCCTTTGATCGGGAGGCAATATCATGAACTTTCCAATTTTCTTCTTGTCACCTTCTCATGGATCAAGTCCATAACAATATCAATCTCTCCAACTCTCAAATGGTTTGTTTCTACGTAATATCTAACTTGAATCGAAAGCTAACATATTATATTGTCAGACTATGAATGAAATCTTTTCACATTGATACAATCATTAAAACGGAGTTATGACTTTGACTCAGAATTTGAAAGACTGAAACATTATATGCCGAACCGTCTGACAAAAGGACACCAGCATCCAAATAGACAATCAAGAGTTTCTTTGTACACGATGAATAGAACTTATGACCAATCAATCAAAACGAATTCCACAACCCAAACTGAGTATCTATGCTACCAATTGATCTTAACAATCTTAAATTTTTCAAGAACAAATTTTCCTTCTTTGTACTTCTGCAATTCCTCATAAGCTTTGACATATTTCCAGCCTAACACCTCCCCACAATCACAGCAGTGTACATCAGCAACCGTGTGGAGGCCTGTGATCAGATGCCGATTCTCCTTAGGCCCTACAACCACGTTCACTGCATGGGAGAATAGAAAGCCCCTGCCACGGCTTGCCTAACATAGCAAAGCAAAGCATATCATATATATAACACAAGGATCTTCAAATATTTGCAAACTACTGCATATATATATATGGTGTTTAAATGATATAACTCCTAACCTAATCTAGCCAATTCTTAACTTATTTCCCCACCCACCCTCATCACTTGGTCTAACCCAGAAGGCTTATCCAGCTATTAGGACTTGCCTACAATTTGGTTATCATTGTGTTGGTATCTCAAGACAATCATGCATTGTTGTCATGCGTTTTAACTTGCATGGTAGTGTGTAATTGGTTTGAGATACTGTTGCAATGATCCATGTTGTAGGTAAGTTTCTCTCTTTGAACTGTGCATTTATTTAGAATTCACTAATCCACGAGATGCATTTAACTAATAATTCATCTACTCATTGGTAGCCTGAAAACATTGACATTATGGAAACCTAAATATCTTTTCTCTGTAACAAACTTTGGTTCTCATTAATTGAATAATAATTATAAGAAGTAGGCATATTATACCATTGAATCTATCTAATCATTGACGGTTAGATAACATAACATAGTAGAATATTTCTGACAAATAAACAATTCTACAACTGAAATCCATGTTCTGTGGACTCAAATGTAAAACTCCAGACCAAATTTTCAATGCAATGACTGAATGAAACACTATTCAATCTGTTGCAATAACCTAATTGCCATAACAGTTGCCATAAATTGCATAAGAGTATAAAGGTATGGAGGAGAAAGCACATGCGTTTGGATCACCTGAAATGCTTTAGATACAATATCATCATGACAGCAAACATGATTCTGGCACTTGTAGCAGCCATACAGCCTTGGCCCAGATAAATCACCCATTGATTGGAGGATTAATTTGCTTAATACCAACGAATTAAAGTTCAACTGCAGCAAGAAAGTTACAAAACAAAAAGAAATTAAAGTTAAATACCAATTAACTGCTAATTAAGCTTGATATTAACCATCGAGAAAGCTGATCATCTTGATCTGCATGCAACTGGAAATTAAGCAATCACCCAATTGAACAAAACCATTGAAGCCCAGACATCAATTATTGAGATGATAAATAATATAAACCCCTCAAATGAGGAGATATTGCATAAACAAATGGGGATGATTAAGACAGGATTCTAATTAAGCAGGCTTTCAAGATGTGTTGTGTCCCAATCCACCCTTCATTCAAATGAAGAATCTGGAAGAAATAATTCATATCAGTCAAGCATTGTTGCTTCTTACCTGCCTGTCCAGTGCCCATCCACCAAAAGAAAAACTGCAAAAAGCAAAACACTATTTCATTTTTCTCCTCCAAACAATATTATTTGAGAGAGAGAGAGAGAGAGAGAGGGAGGGTGGGGGGTTTTGATTGGTACATTGGTCAAAGGTGAGGTAGGGTTTTGGGGTTTTGACTTTTTGAGCTATCCTGTCACGATTATTCTCATGAGACACGCCAAGTGGATTAAACAAAGATTTTATTTATTTATTTTTATAAAATTATTTAACATTTTATTAATGTTTTTTAAAAATCTTAAATCATTTCAAAATTGTTTTTTATTTGTTTGATCCATGTGGCACAATATCGTTGGTTGAATGGTTTCACATGTGTCACATTATCAAATTAACAGACAATTTAATAGAATCAGAAGTTAGGGATTGAATTGTTGTGCAATGGCCAAATTAAGAATCACATTGATCGGTTTTTAAATTAAAGGACTAAAATGATGAATTTGATTGCTTTCAGAGATCATTTATAATAAAAATAATTAAAATTATTTGATAAAGATTTTAACAAATTACTAATATAATGAACAAAAATTATGTATTTTTTTAATCCAATATAAGAAAATAATAGCATTAAAAAATAGAAAAATCCAGAATGAATAAAATCATCATATTAGCTCATAAGGGTAGATTTGTAAATGAAGGGAGTCCTTGATACGTTACCCCTTTCCCTCTGCTGCGCGCCTTCGTACCAAATCTCTCTCCCGCTACCGTATTTGCTTAACGCTGCCACTCTTTCTCAGTCTTACAGAACAACACCCGCAAAACCCTAGCGACCCCAATTCCCCTCTCTCGCTTGCAAAGTCGGATTCTTTAAGCTTCTCCCTCAACTGTACGTCTCCAAATCCTAATCTCACAATTTCTCGTATGGTAATTTGTAATATTTCGTTTAATTTAATTTTTATTTTCCTAGGGTTTTGAGCCCTAAAATTGGGGTTTCTCTCTATCTGATTCGGTGGGTCTTTGACACATCGTCGTTTGGTGATTGAGCTGTTTCTCTTTTTCCCAATTTTGATTTTGTGTGGATTTTTTTTATGAAAAGTGGGTACCTTTTGATTTTGTTTGATTTTTGTTATTCTTAATTCAAAATAACGTAATGGTAATTACTGTTTAATTGTGTTTTTAGTTTTCTGTATGTTAATGTGATTTGTTGATGGTAGTTTATAAGCACACACACAATGTAATGACATCTCGAAATCGAAAATAATTTCAGAGAGAGGGGGAGATTTGTGGTTAGAGGCTTTAGGAAATGGAGTTCTGCCCAGGTTGTGGTAACATGCTGCAGTATGAACTGCCGAATATGCACGATGCAAGATTCTTCTGTCCAACTTGTCCCTATGTAGCATACGTTGATAGGAAGGTACAGCTAAAGATATAGATCTTTTTTTTGGTGATCTGAATTATATCCTAGCTTCTCTTTCTTGCCTTTTGAAGGGTATGCGTAATGTGATAGCTGGTTTTCGTATTGCGCTTGCAGGTGAAGATTAAAAGAAGGCAGCATCTAGTTAAAAAAGAGATACAGCCCATCTTTACCCTGGACGACTACAAGAATGCGCCCAAAACTGAAGGTTTGTTTCATTTTTCCCGCCCAAGGGGTTTCGTGTTTTTCTCTTTCTTTTGGTTCTAGTAATTATCAAAGTAGGAATATTTGTTACAAGTAGTGAGAAACATACTCTATTTGTTTTGTTTCTTGATTCACAGTTGAGTACTATTAATGAGGTTGCAGTACTGCAGTGTACTCGTAGTGTGCTCATTCTTTTTCTAGCGTTTTACTTTGTTCTTCTGTGGTCTATAAATCCTGCCATTTGTTTACGTTTCTTGGTGCCTCTCTGGAATTCACTGCGTGGTCCCAAGCTATGTCGACCTTGTGAAATGATGCCATTGGTCGAATGGGGTTTGGTATTTTCGCTAGAATTTTTAGAATAATTGCGTATATATATCAGACACCGGATAGGATTTGTCTGTAAACTTATTGGTTAGGCTACCTAGTTTTTCTTGTTCACGTTGTCCTGTTTCCTAAAGCACTTAAGGGGGATTGTTGAGGTCTTAGCTTCTTAATTGGGTGGAGCACCGAGTTCTCTAGGTTATGCTTTCACTAGAAAGCGAAGGTGAGTGAGGTTTTGTTACAGTTAGCTGTGAGGTTTTGATTGGACAAGGTTCATCATCGGAGGGAGTTCATACTCTATAGAGGTATCTGTGAGACTGAGATTCTTGTCTCGTGAAAGGCTTAGTTATCTTAGTACGCATTAAAATACTTTTTCCTCATCTTGAGTGCCCTGTTTTATGTTCTGAACAAAGTTATTGGTCGGGTTTATAACTGGTATGGAAGGTTATAAGCATTCATGACTAAAGAGCTAAAGGTTACAATCTCTTATCCAGTTTGGAAACAAATGGGACGTATCTTTTGTGCCTTGAGGTTGAGGGGAAGTTGTTAGAATGCTGCAGTTGTTTCTTCATCAAGTTAAATGAAAGTCGACTTTCGACTTTGTGTCAGGTTATGTCTCTTAACCTGATTGGTGATGACTGGAGAGAAATCCTAGATTTAGAAGCTGATGTTTCTATAAAAACGAAATAACCGTGATTGAGGACACAAATGATGAGAGATATTGACAAGAGATACAATTGCAAAATCAGTCATTCCATAATCTTCTAAAAGGTTTGAGCTAGCACAATTAGTGGATGTCAAACACAGTTGTAGGTGTGGGAATTGATGTCAAAATTTATTTTGTGTGTGACAATCGATTCAGCGAAAATATTCTTTGTTAAATTAGTTTACTGGATTTAGGTTTAGGTTATCCTGAACTTTGCATGGTAAAGCTAAACATTTTATCTCTAACTGGAATGAGGTACCGTTCTTGGCTGTACTACGCATCTGCTGTAGTTGACTTTTGTCATGATGTTCGTATCATTCTGGATTGAATCATTGAACTTTATGATAAGTGTCGAACATAAATTACATACGCCCAAGTAAAATTTGGATGTCGAAGCATAAGACACTGTTATTCTTGACTTCATTTTGTTGTTCTCCAGTAGATGCTAATGTCCTGTAAAATATTGTTGTACAATTGCAAATATCTCATGAGATGAGGTCTGACTTCTTTTTGCTCTTTCTTTTCTTTCTTTTCTTCTCTTCTCTGGCAGAACCGTGCCCAAGATGCGGGTTTCCTGAGGCAGCTTACAGGACACAGCAAACACGATCTGCCGATGAACCAGAAACAAGATTCTACAGGTGTATGAACAACAATTGCGGACACACATGGGTTGATTACACTTAGTCTGAGAATTTTGTGTTCTTTGAGTTGCTAATCCCTTTTAATTGCTCCATTTTTGAGTTTTTGCCAACTGTGGCGTGATATTGTGAACTGCTTCAACGCATGGAAATAATACTTCAATGTTCATTCGTACATTCTTCTGTTTTATCTTTTGCTGCAATGAACATTCGTTCATCAATTTTATCAAAGTATTCAATGACTTAATGTGCCACCGAGTTTGCAAGCTCGTAACTTCGTAATCAAGAAGGTCGAGCTGACAAACCGAAGCATTATGTTTTCGGTTCTGATTATCGATCTGCAAAAATGAAGTTGAGCATGCATTAACAAATCCGGTATACCATTCATACTCAACAAACAAAAGTAACAGGATATCAGCACAAAATTTAGTTCCGAGAAGGTTCAGTATTAGTGAACAGCCACTTTCTTTTTGTCCATCCATCTCTTTCTGGTCGTTTCCAATGCTTTCTCCCTCATCCTTGAAAGTTCCTGGAACCACTGCTGGTACTGCAACTCAATCGTTTCGAGTTCCAACTTTAAATCGGCATCCAGATCGTTATCTGCCAAAGATAGTGAAGAACAGCTGCTTGTCAAGCTCATATCTTTCGATAAATCATGCTCATGCAATGGAAATTCCAAGTTCTTTATGATTCCATTCACTGGGAAGCCTCCTCCATTGCTAGAGCAATCGCTCTGTAGCTTGCTGTCAACTAAATATGAGTACCTCAGCTTGAGTTCAGAAGTATTGCAATTGACAGATTCAACTGCTTGGTCGTTTTTGGTGGAACCATCATCAACCATTACCTCAGAGTGAACCGATACTTTTGAATGTTCAACGGCAAAATCAGCAAAGCTTGGATAAGAGGTAATGCCACCGTTAAAATTGATTGTATCAGGGTTATCACAGGAGCTACCATCTTGCTCAACCATTGAGCCAGCAGGGGCACCGGATAGCACTGGACCCCACAGGCTTGACAATGAGGGTTTCCCATTTCTATAGACTGGGGATCCGCCACAAAGACTCGTTGGTCCACTTGAGGAATAATCAGATGAGGGCTTCCAACCGGGTAGAAATTTCATTATCAAGTAGTCAATAAACTCAGCAATGAAGGCCACATCGTGATTTGTTAATTCCAGTTGTTCAACCATCTCGCTCGCCACAGACACTGCTGTATCACTAGCAATGTAAAAGAGAAAATGTATATTCCTCGCCTTACCTGTAAGATACAGAAAAGTCATGCTATTACATTCCTGACAGGAATAACAATACTAAACATAAATTTGGATATCCACTCTCCCAGTTTGCATACTCACCACTTGCATCAGCTATACGCAAGGTTAATGATACTGAATCGTCATCATTTTTTATCCCACTTAACCTGAACTCGTTGTTCTTATGTGTCCTTTGAAATTCCAGAACCTGTGGACTCCCATTGTTGCATCCTGCAAATGTGCTTATAGATAGCTGCTTGTAGTCAGTATCTATGTCCATGGAAAAAGGCCCGGACTTTGGTAAACTTGTCGCTTTCAGACTCTGGTTAGGTAACTGTAAGGGATCGCAGATTGGTTCCTTTGGATTGTCAACTTGAAGGAATGCATCTTTGAGCAGCTCTTTCGCCGAAAGCCTCTCAGATGCAGGAACCAGACATTTCTCAATAAACCTTTTGATTTGGGGGTCATTCACCTTACCAAGGGCAGCAGGTTTAACGCCCTGCAAAAGAACATACAGGAAATAAGATTCCTGAGTGGTTCTACTTTAAACAGCCAGCAGAAGAAATGATGATAGTTCTGATGACTCCACAACTTACAGAGGTAACCTTCTTAAATATTTGAGCAGGACTTTTGCATTCACAATATGGATACTCAAAGGTAACCATCTCTAACATGCACATTCCGAAGGAGTATACATCAACGAGTTCATTATATTCCTCTTCATAGAGCTCTGGAGCCATAAACTCGGGAGTCCCTGACAAAAAAAAAGGAACAGTTTCAGTACTTGTTTAGATGGTTTAATCAAGAGAGAACATCTGGTTTCATAGATTTCTTACCAATCACACTGCGAGCAGTAGGCTGCTGCATAACAGTTGCCAATCCAAGGTCTCCGATTTTAACTTCTCCAAGATTTCCATTAATGAAAATATTATCACATTTTAAGTCTCTATGAATGATAGGGGGGTTATGACTGTGGAGAAAGACTAAACCTCCGAGAATCTGCCTTGCCCAGTTCCTTATGGCCTTCATATCAACATTCTTATGCTTCTTACGATATCTACAACCAAAAGGTGCGCAATTAGTTTGATTTCATATAATGTAGTCAAGCAATCCAAAGACAATGAGAAGTAATCAATAGAACATACCGCCTTAGGCTTCCAGATGTGAAGAGCTCCGTAATCATGTTAATCGTATTTTTCTGATCATCCACCCATGAATTATAGAACTTAATAATATTGTCATGTTTCACCGATTTCAGCAGATGAACTTCAGAATACAATTTCTCCAAATCTTCTGGCGATCGCAAGACAGCATCAATCTTCACTTGGTTCCATGCCACTTCTATTCCATCAACTTCATCAAATGCCTTGTAGCTGCAAAAAATATGAGGTGCCCAAAATTTAAAAAAAATAATAATAATAATTCTTGAATTTAACAAAATTTCTTCCTAAAAGTAACGAAATCTGGAAAACAAGAAGGAAGAGAGAAAAAACTGAAGAGAAAAGATCTCAGAACCATACACAGTCTTGAAGGCACCCTTGCCCAAGATTTCATTGTACTGTTACCAAGAAAATAAGAAAAAAAAAATTAAAGGAGAATTATATGACTAAATGAAAGGGGAAACACAATCTTCTCATATCTAACAAAAAATAACAATTCATTTGTTTCCTATAAAATCGGCTCGAAAACAAGCTGCTCAATCTGATGAAGAATCTTGCAATCACAGATACAATCTGATACCAGTTCATTCGAAACAACAAAACTAATTATTCAACCAAACAAAAGCAACAAATTTACAAAATGTACAATCTATTCGGCATAAATTAAACCCTTGCATCAAAATGTGACCACTTACGACACGAATTTCAACGTATCGAAATCATATGAAGATATCGAAAACAAACAAGAACTAAAATTGCAGCTTGAACACAATCATTATTCCACATTCCATTAGCATTTCCAATCCAAATTGCAAGTGCAAGTTGTGATACTTACCCGAACGTAGCGATTGCTTGGGTCCTTCTCTATAAAATCGGCCTCTTCATCAGGGAGCTTCGCCACCGGCAACTTCCCATTACTTGCTGGCGATACCAATCGGACCCCTGAATTCATTTCCTTCCAAGAACCAAACAACTACCAGAAAGATAAGGACTTTTTTATTTTATTTTATTATATATATATATATATGTTATTTTTTTTCCTCTTAATATATAATTTAGTGGGTCAAATTTTTTAATTAGAAAAACGTATTTTTCTCTCGTTCAGCTGAAGAGAGAAATCGCCGTTGATCGGGCCAAAAAACGACGACGCAACAGCAGCTCATAAAAGGCTTCGGAGGCGATGCAGAAGGAATCGAATGCCGATTGGAAGCGGAATCGGCATTCGATGGCGGCGGACGGAGGCAATGAACCGGCTGAGTTCAAAACCCCAAGTTCCATGCAATGTGATTTTATCATTCTCTACGCGAATCCCGTCGCGACCCACTTCGCGAAAGCCATCCCAGAAGCGAACCCAAGTGGCGGAGAGGGGGTCAGAATCGGCGGTGGAGATCGGGCATTGGGATTGACCAGACGGAGGAGACGAAAGCGGCGGTGAGAAATTCGACCGTTTTGGTGGGGGGTTGAGAGATGGGGGACCGCAAAATCTGAACCGAAGAAAAATGTGAGAAGAAAATGGAGTTGGAATTTGAGACAGAGAGAGAGATAGAGAGAGTGAGCGCGCGCGGACGTGCGAAATTCAAGCTCAAGCACACGCACTTGACACTTGTGTGGTTTTTTTTTTTTGTTTTTTGCATTTTATTTCTTTTATTTTAGAAAAAAAAAAAACTGATTGCATTTTTTTAAAACAAACGAGATGTCAAAACTATTACGAAGATATACAACTGTAAAAAATGGTAACAAACTTTCTTCAACCAAACTTTCAATTTCTTACATGAGGTTGAATCAATTGAATGCAAGCCTTTTTGCTGTTAAATTTGACAGCATTAAATGTCAAATTTATTAAATGTTTATTAATAGATTAATATAATATTTGATAGATATTGTTGTGTTTGTCAGAAAGGAATCATCTTCAGATCCCTTCCACTTAATCCTCCTTATCAAACAATCCGGACCCTTGAAATTTGATCAAGCGGCTTAAGTTATTATAACTTTTAAAGTGAACTCATGTTTTTAGCTGTTGAATCAAATTCAAAGATCCGGATTGTTTGATGAGGATGATTAGGTGGAAGGGATGTTTGTCAAGTGTGTGATTGTTTTGCCTCAATCATTGGGCTCTATAAAAAGATAAAAAAAAAAATCATTAAATGACATTATTATTTAACATATCGGATAAAGCAAAATATTTTACAAAAAGTCAAATTCAACATAAGCCATCAAATATCATTTTGATGTTTAAAACTTGACACCTTACTTGGAGATGCTTTTAACCTCACAATCAGTTAGTAATAATGTGGTTCAAATTTACATTTGGCTTGAATCCAATCTAAAACATCGCACCCACAAGTGAAGAGAAATCGAACATAAAACTGATTGCATTTTTGTGCCATTAGTTTCACTTTGTTACTTGATTCCATCAAAGATAGATTTCAATAGGAGAAAATATATAAATTGAACAAAACAATCAAAATGGTTTCGTGGTGTAGTTGGTTATCACGTCAGTCTAACACATTGAAGGTCTTCGGTTCGAACCCGAGCGAAGCCAATTTCTTTTTTCTAAAACTCATCCAACATTTTTACTTCATATGTTTTGCTTCTTATATTAATTTTTTTCCTTCTATATAATTAGTATTTCTTATATCTTTTCTGCTTCATGATTTCACTGCATATGACTTGTTGTTCTTTCATTTTGGAACTTCAAGTGAGGTTTTGGATCATCTTAGTCGAGCTGCCTCGAGACTGGTTGGTTGAAGACACCTATGTTTTATCCCAGCCAGCACTCTATCTGACATGGCAACATCTGCTGTTCTTCTTTCTAGCAAAATTGCACCTGCTGTCTCGATCGGGGAAGATTTTCTTATATATGATTCAACTATTCCAAGTGGAATGCAAGTTGGTTATCTATACGTAGTTGTTGGTATTAATGTTCCAGAAGTAAATAATAGTGCTGCAGAAGATTCATTTAGCTTCATGCTTTCGGATCGCCATTGTCTTTGGGAGATTCCTCTACTCGGACGCATTGGAAGAGTCATAGTATATTGTGGCCTTCATGATAACCCCAAAGTTTCACTCCCCTAGGATGGAACTTTTTGTGGGAAACCTTGGAGGAAGGTCTTGGAAGATTCAGGAATCCATGAAAATGATATATGGAGCTTAACGAGTACTCATGGAAAGTGTTTATGGAATGCAAAAATATTTCCTATTCTTTCTTACTTTGAGATGGTAAATTTGGCACCATGGTTGATGGGCTTGGACGATCAAAATTCTGAACATCTCTATGAGGCTCCCATTGATAAATGTACTTCATCCCATAAGAACAATGATTTTGATACCTCTGCATATCATTCATTCCATCCCAGAATGGTGAAGGTTCAATGACCAGTTCGTGTGGATTTTGTTAGGGGTTGGAGTGACACTCCTTTATCGAGCTTGAAGCGTGCCGGTTGCGTTTTGAACATGGCAATAAGTTTGGAATGTTCTCTTCCAATTGGCACCAACATAGAGAAGACAAAATCAACTGGTGCTTTATTAGTGATGATGCTGGGAATGAGTTACACATTGAAGACCTAACCTCAATTGCTACTCCATTTGATGACAACAATCTATTTCGCCTTGTCAAATCTGCACTGCTTGTGACTGGCATTATTCATGAAAACGTTCTTGCATCCAAGGGTTTGCAGATTAGGACATGGGCCCGTGTACCTCGTGGCAGTGGCTTGGGGACTTCTAGCATCTTAGCAGCTACAGTTGTGAAATGACTCCTCTAGATTACCAATGGAGATGAAAGTAATGAAAATGTTGCAAGGCTTGTTCTTGTATTAAATGTACTTCAAGTTTTCCTGGAATTCCATTACAACTACAAGTCATCCCACTCTTGGCTTCTCTCATGTTAATTTCAGAGTTGTAGCAACACTTGCTTGTGGTTTTTACTGGTCAAGTACACATTTCCTTTTCCAGTTTAGATATGCATTCTAAGACTATTCTTGCATAATTGCATTACATAATCATATTGTCAATCGTGAAAAGCATAAAAGTTTGCTCCGTTACTCGTTAAGGCAAAAAATTAGAGTCTTGTTCTACATACGCACACTTTAGTTATTGGACCTTAACTTGATATTGCTTTATTCCATGTGTCCAATCTCACGTTGCTCTCACTTTCCCATTGAAACCATGTCTGTATTCCCATGTATTTGAAAGGATGTAAATATGATTTGGTGCAGGTTCGACTTGCGCACCAAGTCTTGCAAAAGGTGGTAATCTACTACCTCTGAAGCCAAAGGGACAACCTTCTATTGGAATTTAACTCCATATACTTAACCGAAATACCTAATCACTAACATGAATCATTAGAGTGATACTTGAAGAAAACATGGTTAGTTGCTCCAGGAATCCTTTCAAAGACCAAGCATACTAGATCACGATTTGAAATTAGATAAGAAAGAATTACCTGGTGCAGGCTGTGGTTACTGTTAACATATAAGAATTTTTCAACTCACTTAAAGCCTTATGTTCCAATGGTGATAGAACCCTAATTACATAACCTATTCTTTGTGAGCAAAGAACTCATATATATATATAAAGAAATAATGACAGCCAACTCCTATCTATCGTGGGCTATTGGTTATTCCACTGTATTAAATTCAGCTGTAATGGGTTAGTGGATGACATAGTTGCATCCCACACAAAGGGTTAATAGAAAACAGATGCATCCCCAACATTCTGAATGTGTTTCCATAACTATAAGACGTTGGTTTTCCACGTATCAAACTCTTATTGAAGTTGTATTATCCACATGTAATTTCACCGTTATCACAAGAGTTAAGTCCACATAGGATTCCTACACCTTCTTGTATCCAGCATCAAGCGCATCGTTGAATAGCCCAAGAAATGGAGAAAAACTCTGATGAATTGTGACATAGATGACTTTGGGGAGATAATGCTAGAAGCTTCGAGGTTGCATCAAGAACTCAACCCTTACTGCAGTGATGAGTTTATGGATCAACTCTGCAGATTCGCGCACCCGTATTGCACCAGCTACAAGCTTGTAGGTGCCGGGGGCAAAGGCTTTGCCTTGTTGTTTGCCAAGGACGCCAAGCAGGCAAATGAACCAAGGCATTTGCTAGAACAAGATTCAAATTTTGACGTCAAAGTATACAACTGGAACATCTTCTTAGATAATTAATTAAGAGGTGTGTTATAATGCTTGGTTCTTTAATGTATATTATGATACCAAATTGACACAACCTGACCTAGAGTGTCCACCTAGACATCCGAATCGTGATGTGCTGGCCAACATCAGGAAGTTGACGAAGCCATAAGGTGTAATGATGTGGAAAATGTGAATAAATTAAAACCTAAAAGTGCCTAATTTAGAGTGCGCAAGTGAGCAGGGATTGAACCCATATCACACAAGTGATGTCAGAGCATAGATAAAATATAGTAAAAGAAGAGTAGTGACATTTATACCGAAGGGAGAAATCTCATAAATAGTAGCTTTTTCCAACAATCTTGGCAGTCACGAAACCTCTGCCACTAAAACCTTGGAGGGGCGAAAAACAAAAGTGAGTGGGCCTGAAAATAAAGTTTTGTAAAACCTTTTCAAAAAGTGTAACCCCTTGCTGTACCGAATTGTCGTCTTCCTTTATAACACATGTTAAAAAGCCTTCACAACTTTTCTCAATAAATGCTTCGCCTTTCCAGCGGGGATTAATTTGTGCTTCAGTTTCTGATGTTTGCTAGTGGGGCTAACATAGAGATGACAGGTCATCGAGAAATGACTACTTTCGGTCAATGCGTCAACAAAGGAATAATAATAATGTAGTCGATCTATCTCTTGTATTACGTGGAATTTCACGATATCCAACAAAATAGGATTAACTGGCATTATCAGATTGGTAATGGAAACGGTGTAATCACTGCACTCGTATTGGCATAACAGACTTGCCTTGTGCCAATATCAGATTGGTAAGATGATTGACTGGTGGTTTAGGTCGTTGACATGACTACGGGTTTGTTATTCTTTTATATGGCTTGCTTCCAAGTTTCTATGATTATGGTTCTGTTGGCTCTAATTGTCTTGATAAATGTGTATGTCAGCGATGCCGCTACCTAACGTTTCTATGGTATTCTCGTAATGTTTGCCTTTATGGAATAGTGAACCGGTGTCCTGGCAATGGTATGATATCCATATATCACATTTCACTTTCAATATAATGATATCATACCACCTGGATACTGGTTCACAACTCCCTGATACAGGATAGTCTCATTCTAGTGACAATTAATGTCACCTAGGTTGGTTACTACCTAAGGGATGGTCGGAAGGGTAAGTAAGATTTTCTAGGAAGACTGCTCCTGTGAGATGATTTTGTCGTTTTTGGGAACACTGACTACTGCTTTTGATATGTAATTATGGAAACTAGTGTTTATGAAACTACCTTAAGCTCAAGAATGGGAATTGTGGTTAACTTTCCCTTAGAATGGGATTTATCGAAATTCGATCTTCTTTCTGAAGATCCGGAATCATAACTG